ATAATACCTGATTTTATAGTTCAGGGGTTATGTAGACTTTTTTCCATTAATTTTGCATCGAGGAGCATTCAGCTGACAAATCGTGGTCTTTGGATGAGAGGAAGTTGCACCTTATACATGTGTAACCCGCAAAATTAATTCTATTTACGAGCTCGCGGATAACCCCGACTTGCATCCCTAGTGTTTGGTATCAGTTGTTGAATTTTGACGCGCTGATATTTTGTCAATAATTTGCAGTGCTGCTCTGCAGACCCTCTGATAGCATATGGCTATTCCAGTTTTCTGGCTGAGAGATTCCAAAGTGATCCAGAGACCTGTGAGGTTGATCATCCTCTACAACTACAAGATGGCTGATCAAACAAGACATGTGTGCCAGTGCGCTCCAGAGGCCAGATGTTGGAGAGTGGAGACATTCTCTCTTCGCGAATGGGCTGAAGACGATACTGATAGATGGTGCGGTTGCTGGGCACGGCACGACGCACGTCGTCATGCTTTGCAGTTGCAGCAGTTGTCTTTGTACCCGTACGCGTACGCGTACGCCTGCGGCTTGTCCGGTGAATTGAACGGAACACCCGTATCAGTATGCGATGCATGTCTCTTTTGTCTTGCATCGAAAAGAGAACTCGTGGCGCGGCTGTCCTAGTTGCCTGGCTCAGAGAAGAGAAAAGGCGGTCGCGGCGGGCTGCGGCTCTGCCTGCACCGGGGCGGTCGTGCTTGGTTGCATAGCTTTAGGCCTTGATTAGTTCCCCTCTAAATTTAGCTTCCCGTGTATAGAAGCATTAAATTTGAAAAGAAAAGCAGATGTCCGTGGGTCTCACCTGTCAATCTCTTCTCTCTTAAAAGTCTTACAAAATAAAACACGCTGACAGTAATTTAAAATGCCGGAGGTGCGCTTCTTTGGTCAGATGTCCGTGGGTCTCACCTGTCAATCTCTTCTCTCTCCCATGTCTTCTCCAACACGCCTGTGCCGGAGGTGCGCCTCGTCAAAGCATGGCCGCACCCCCGCCGGAGCAGGGCCGCGAGCCCGAGCTGGGGCTGTGCCAAGGCACTCGGATGCGAAGGAGCTCACGGGCAAGAGAAAAGGTCGCTCGGGGATAAAAAGAATTAACCGGTATCTATGCATAACTAATGGTAGATGGGTAATTTTTTACCCTAAAAACAGCTAAAAAGCAAGGGGAGGGCTGCTTTTAGTTTTGTACTAGAGCAAAAGCTACTTTTGGACAAAAACAGATATGGCTTTTGGGTTATTTGGATGACTTTTGGTTTTTGCAAAAACAAAAGTAGGTTTAAAAGCCCAACCAAACAGTGCATTTGTTTCACACGTGCTAATATTAAAAAATGATATTTTTTTTGGCTAAAATAGAAAAAAAAACTTAGTTCACGTCGATGAGATGATGAATAGACGATGAGACAACCACCGTTGCCGCCCATACGACGTGACACAACACCAATATGCGTGTACTACACACCTGCAGTGTGGCAAGAACTAACATGGTGTTTGGTTCAACTAAATGTAACGTAGTTGGATTATAGAGGGTAATGAATTTCGTTACTGTTGTTTGGTTGGACTTATCCCGATAGTAGGTACCCTGTAATCCAATTACAGCCTATTCAATTTCGATCCCAGACATCCCAAGCCTTATCCGATACCGCCGCCGCCGCTATAGGACTAGGGCGCTTCCTCTTCCTCGCCTCGCGATTCCGTAGATGTAGCCGTGGTCGACGAGGGCTTCAAGTTCAAGATCCGCGTCAACTCCTCCCTCGCATGCTCCACGGTCCAACAGCGAACTCACGCCGCTCCCCATGAAGTTGGCGACCCCAAGATGTTCGTCCTCCCCACCCCCGGGGACAAGCTTGGCCCCGGATTCAACGTCGCCGCCGCTACATCCGCCGTCCCTGTAGCCGTGAGGAGGTGGTGGTGGTCCTCGCGGCGCCTGATGTCGTGCCTGGCAGCGGCGGTGCTGTCGGGGGCCGTGATCGGAAGAATCACGGCGGCCACCGGGAATGGCAAGGCCAAGGGCTGATGCGGTGGGAGCGAGGTGGACCTGCACATGCTGCTCGTCGGGGGAGCGGCTCCAGCACCGGCCAGGTTCATCGCTAGGTGAGCGTCGTCGTGCGTTCGTCGCTCCCTGAAGATTGGTCGCTCAACGTCGTCGTGCAGCTCGTGCACTCAGCTGATTCCATTACCGTCCAAATCCAAACAAAGTCCATGATTTGATTCATTGTTTACTGTCCAGGGTAATTCGATTTCGTTTACATTTGCGTTTACATTTGCCAACCAAACAACACGTAATATCTTTATGTATTCTCAACCCTAAATCTACTTGCTAGTTTTTATAGTCACCACGTCGGGAAAAAAAACTCATTATAAAAAGAACCACAATACACAACGGAGAAATCACTAGGGTGGGCTACATCTTCTCTCTTCCTCCAATCCACTCTCTCCGCATTATTTTCTTATTTCTTTGATTCTTTCCATCTTCCAATTCGCAGGCAGGTGAGTAGCGCGTGGGTGCTAGGGTGGCAAAGCGCACGGGGTCAGGGCAACGGGGCCAACGGCTCTGCGGGGTAGAAAAATAGGTGACGTGGCAGTCTCATAAATACCACAGAAAATCGTTGCTACAAACCTTAGGGCATCCATAATGAAAGGAATCAAATGTTAGCTTTTATACGTTTTCTCATCTATGTCTCACATGTAAAGTGTTCTTTATTCTATATATATTCTCTTTGTCGTTATGGAAGATCTAGGAGGTGTGTCTTTCGTGCACGAGTCCCCGTGAATATTCTAGCTATTATCCTCACGCTAGCTCAAGGTTTTTGGTCCCCTCTTCTTCCAGTGACACCTAATGCTACAGTGTTTTGACCCATGTGTGGTATGAGCCCACCTGAGATATCCCACCTTGTCCTGGTATTTGGTTCCGAGTCAACCAGGATAGATTCATCCTCATGGTAATTAATGTACCTTCAACATCCAGGGCAACCTCGTCCCTAAATTTCAACGGATTTGTCCGTCCCACCTGGGATATGGGTTCTAGGCGAAGCGCAGGCGACACACGGGGGAGGAGAAGGGATGACTGGCGGGGTCTGTGCGCCGCCATGTGCTATGCTAGCGATCTCCGCTCCTGCCCTGCTGAGAGGGACCACGCGGCCAACTTCGCGTGCGTAGGGAACAAAGATGGGGGAGGAAGAGTAAAGGAAAAAAATAAAGAGACTGATAGGTGGACCCCACATGTCAGTGATCTAATCTCACTTTTGGTGTCTCCAAACCAAACAAAAAACTTGCAGTCTCATCCTTCCTCGACCAATCATTAGATTGGATGATCTTGTCTCTAGAACTTTGAAGACTGTCCCATCTTAATATCTCCAACCAAACACAACCTTCTATTCCTAATGTCTCTAACCAAACAAAATCTTACAGATGGCAACCGGGGGCTTGGTTATGCGAGCTCCATGAATGGCATCTCTTTGATCCTCTGTTAGGGCGTGCTTACGTGAGGTGGATGACATCTCTTTGATCCCCTAACCTCTAGGCACCAGTCCGTCCAGGCGTCCACTGCCAACGACGTGAGCGCGCTAGCACCTGCACCAGTACGATACGTAGTACTACTGTACACTGTACACTGTACACCTCGCGCGCGCCACCTGATCCTCATTCCTCATGCTGACCAGCCAGCCGCATCCGTTCGTCGTCGTGCACCATGCATCCTGTATCCCCCACGAGGCAGCCCTTACGTTTACCCGTCGTTCATCGGTTCTAACTTCTGATATAGAGTAAATTCTCCGAGGAAGCTAGAACGGTTTTGGGAAACGTTTTGATAAAACAATTATGATGATAGTTTTGTTATAATAATTTGATTAGGTTTGTGAGGAGCTAAGGAAGAAAAAAAACTGTTTTTTTCGGCTCCGGCTCCTCCGTGTAGAAACATCTCCGTCTCCTCTGGGCTTCTGGGGAGGAATCGCAAGAAGCCGGACTACACACAAGGCAAGCCGGACTACACACACAAATAAGGCGTATATATATATATATATATATATATATATATATATATCTATAATCGGTATTTGGTATACCAATATATATATATATATATATATATATGCTTGTTTAGCTTGACCCCGTTGGAACTACACACAAGGCGCGCGTTCTTGTTGTGCATGCTTTTGTTTCAGGGCCCGTGTGGTCAGTGGTGGCGATGGGGCAGAGGCCGAGCGTCCGCGGTCGTCGATGCAGACAAAACAAGGTAGGCGGAGAAGGAAGGAAGGAAGGAACAGAGGCTGGCGTCCCATCTGCTGCCTGCTACCGCTGGAGCAGTGAGCCTGGGGGGCTGGACTGCACGTCTCGCCTGCATGCGCCGCGCGCGCGATGATTCCGATGATGCGCCTGTGCCCGGCCCAGCAGTGGCCGTCTCGTCACCGTCAGATCCATCCTAGGAGTACGCGCCTGGTTGCTGTTGCTGTAGCCTGTACTACAACGTACCGCAGGTACAGGCGTACACAGCCAGCGTGCGGATGGATCGCGCAGGCACGCCCGGCCACAGCCCACACCATAAATAACATCGCCATCGATCGATGTGGGCGCACCCATGTACTGTCCTTGATTTGCTTGTTACTTCTGCTACTAATTCAGATTAAGGAGGTGACCAGATGGAAACCAAGAATGGAGAGTAAATAACGCTAATAGTCGAGAGACGGCGCGGCGGCGTAAACAACGACGCCATCCAACTGGACACGTGGAGACGGCACTGGGCATGGCAACGTGAAGCGGAAGCGGAAGGCCGGGGCGACCCCTCCCTCCCTTCCCCTTGCTGCTCTGCTACTTGGCTTGGTTCGGCTGGCCTGCCCACCCCCACCACTTTTCCTTTGCCTCTGTCGCCCTCAGCACGCACGCAGCGCAGAGACGCAGGGTCGCAGGCGCAGGCACCGCATTTTCCCTTCTCCACCTCTCCTCGATCTCTCCTCCCCCCGCCCCCGCCCCGCGCCGACTACCAACCGCATGCGCCATGCAGCCGGGGCCCACCTCGCCGCCAGCGGACGAGGTGGTGGTGGTGGTGGCGCAGCAGGCGCCCGCGCCCCTGCCCGCCGCGGGGGCCCGGGCTGACGACGACGGCGACGTGGTCAAGGCGGCGGCGGGGGGAGCCCGGGAGGACAAGGACGGGAGGAGGGGCGCCACCGCATCCGCCCGGGGGAGGAAGAGACGGAGGCGCGGCGGCGGCGGCGGCGGCCCCTCCTCCTACTCCGCCGCCGCGGGGACGCGCGGGGTCGTCATGGTCAAGCGGGACCTGCTCGCGCGCTGCATGACGTGCCCGCTCTGCCGCCGCCTCCTCCGCGACGCCACCACCATCTCCGAGTGCCTCCACACGTGTGAGTCCCCCCCGCCTCCCTCCCTGGGACGCTACGTACGTGCCTCCTATAGTATGTCGTGATTCGTTCGTAACCAACCAGCTGGAGCGTCGGCCGTCGGCCGTCGGCCGGGGCCTAGGATTCCGTTCCTCCGCGGCCGCGGCCGCGGGCGTCGCCCCGGCCGCCCTTCTCGATTCCACGCGTTTTACCACCTCCGGCACGTCGGATTTCACCCTCCGCTGTCTCCACGTGGGCGCACCCGCCTCTGCGCCGCGTTCGGGGAGGATTCGGTGCGCCTTCCACGTCTCGTGCTCATGGGTTGCGACGACTCTGTTCTTCGTCGTCGCCTCTCATCATGCCTCAGCCTCACGTCAGTTATACCTCTGTTCATCGCTGTAGCCGTAAGTATACGTACACGGCGTCGCCAATTCCGCCTGCGTCGGGGTTGTCGCTGCTACTATATATATACTGTCGCATTTCAAGTTTTTTTTTCTGCCTTCGTGCTTGACTAGCTGCTTCTTCAAGTTCATTATTATGGTACTATTTGGATAGGATCTTATGTTCTCAGGCCATGTAAATGCCAATCTCGGCGCGATCATTTGTTCTGTTGTTGCGGACTTTACTAAACGCAAGCTTCTAACTGGGATTACAGGAAGCTGCACGTGCAATTCCCTTGATGAACCGTGTTGTTGCATCAACCTTCGAAACGAACCATTCACTCTCGTTAGGCATGTGATTCGTGCGAGATGATAGTATGTGGTTCCCAGAAAATCCCAACACCATGCAACTATTGACTGAGATGACAATTTTTGGTTCCCAGCAAGTCCCAACATCATGCAACCATCGACTCCCTATGTAATTTTGTCAGTGGGAACTGCTGTTTTGAAATCTGGAAGCTAGAAAGCTTACAATGATTGTGTAACTATTGTTAAGATGATATTTTTAAAAACCACAGGGAAGCACTGCAATGTAACTCTGCAATAGATGTAGGAAGATGGGCTTGTGATTACACACGTGGATCTTAGGTGCCGATGATTTTTTTAGTTGCTGCTTTGATGTCACTTCAGTTAGATCATTTGAAGAATTAGTTTTGGGATTCAATCTTTTTAACGCAATGCCCCACGTCCCCCCCTAGGTTTATGACATACGGTTCCACTAATTTGAAAGTTTTTTTTATATTAAACAAAGTAATTTGAAAGCTCTAATCTTTGCGGTCTGATGCAGTTTGCAGAAAGTGTATATATCAGAAGTTCGATGATGAGGAAGTAGAATGCTGCCCAGTATGTAAAATTGATCTTGGCTGCACACCTACTGAGAAGCTTAGGTATAATGTTCTCATGATTCTGTATTTTATCCATTGTGCTATGTGCTATCATAAGGTCAAAATAAATCATGCCAAACCTTTACAGTAACATTACGTTTGCTGGACCACTGATCATACAGTGACTTTCCTTTTGATCACATATACTTAACCTAAACAGGATGCAAAATAGTTGCAAATCATTCATCTCATCTATTACTACTATCTGACATCCGCATTCCGTAGGATATAGTTGCACTTTTGATTTTTCCCATCAGGAAGATATGGATCTGAGTTCATTTTAGTTTTATGTGAAGTGTTATCTTTTATAAATTCGGTATTAAATGCACATGTGTGATTATTGTATGTCTAGTTAGTTGGATAGTTATTTTCATTTGAAAAATGTATATATGGATGTAGTTTGAGTGTTTGACCCCTATTTTGTCAGTGTAATTTGGATTAAAAACCTGCACTGAACATAATACTCTAATATAAAAATAATTTATTGATTTATTTTCTGTAGCATCTATTAGAGTGTGTTGTTGCCGAAATTCTGCACACATTTACTATGTAGTGTTATTGACGTCTCCAAGATTTTGTGTCACTGTTGCAGTTGATGCCAACTTCATTGGAATTTTGTGAAACTATATGTCACATTGGCATACACATGCCCTGGAATAGCTTAATTGCTAGTACATTATAGTACATGTCTTCTTTAATTTAGTTGAAAAAAAACGAATGATTTGTAATTTTGTTTCTACGACTTTGCACCTCTACTGCTCTACCTTGTGCCTTTCTTATACTTGTGTTTTATAATTTTCAGAGCCGATCACAGCTTACAAGATGTAAGATCAAAACTTTTTCCATTCAAAAGAAAGAAGATTAATGTAGAAGAAGTTCCATCTAGTATTTCACCTCCCACTAAAATTAAAGAAAGATCTATCTCTTCATTAGTCGTCGATACACCTAAAGTCAAACCAACAGGCTTGACTGGACGGCGAACAAGAGCAGTTGCCAGAAAAGCTGCCGCTGCTGCTGCCACTGCCGCCTTGCGTGAACTTGGTCCAATTATTGAAGATCCTGTGAAAAAGGAAATTGATAGTTGTGACAGTCATTCTCACAATTCAAATTTGCCTGCTAATTCAAGCAAAGCACCACAAACAAGAAGACAGGTAAACAACATGCTCCTTATGATTCATATCTGCTGCATCTTGTGCCAGTTAGAGCAGAGTAGCTTTGAAGTCATGATTTTGCATCCTGAACTCCCAAAAGGGGTGCATTGACTAGAAGAATGCACATAGTGGTAGTAATGTGATCCTATTGTCTGCAGATATCACCTGATGCGGAGGCATCTAACCATTCCTCCAACAAAGATACCGAAGGTGATAGTAAGGATGAGTTGGCTGATAAGTCTGAACTCTGGCGTCCTTTAAATTGTTTAGTAGAAGCTGCGAACAGGACAAAATCCTTTAGGTCAAGTTCACAGAGTCCAGTTGTTAAGGGAGAGCAAATCAATGGCTCAACAAGTGGTACATTTGCTAGCAAAGCAAAGGCAAGGGAGAATCTGGAGAAGTCCAAAACTGAGGATGACAAAAAAGATGTTCCCACGCCACCAGTGCTGCCAAAAAGAAGAGCTCAAGGTACTGCACGGAAGAGGAAAGATCTTCAAGCTCAAACAGATGTGAAGCCTGATGCTGCAGCTGCACAGAGTGCAAAGAAGTTCAGCTCCATATGGTTTTCATTGATTGCCTCGTTTGACCAGTAAGCATTTCCAATTCATCGCAGGATCCCTTTTGTCTTAGTAGTATCCAAAAAACCGAATAGCAAGCATGGACTTCTTTCTGATCTTCTTGTGCTTTAATTACTCAGACAAGGAGATCCACCTTTACCACAGATTCCTTCCCACTATTTGCGAATAAAGTGAGCTCAACTTTACTCATCTTTTGATTAAACTGTTTAATGCCCTAATTTAATAGATTTTTCTATACTTGACCTCGAGTCAAATTCTTGTTTATTTATTACACTTGATTTTCAGCAGATGAAGGGCAGGCCTGGTGCAGTGGTGAGAGCTGTCTCACTGAGTCACCAGGTCGTGGGTTCGAAGCAGCCTCCTCCGCAGATTTGCGGGGGGAAGGCTTGCCTCGGTTTTTCCCTTCCCCAGACCCCACTCATGTGGGAGCCTCGGGGACTGGGTCTGCCCCCCCCCTGATTTTCAGCAGATACATCTATGACAAACAGCACAATGCTAGACAGAAAATGTAGGAACTTCCATTAGAAGGAAAATAGGAAGAGAGATACTTGTATGACATGTACATAGCACTGATTATCTTTGCCGGTAGAGCATTTTGTTCAGAAACTTTTATCCATAAATCCTATATTGGAGTCTACAAATACTGGTCCTAGGTGGACTTGAAGATTAAGACAAATCTTGTTTTACCGATGCCTTGATACTTGACGTTCATCCATAGATGTGTTGATAATGTAATAAGATGAATAGCATTATATTTACTTGTTTGTAAGTTTGAATGATATCTCTTCAGTAGTATAGTTACAAGATCAGATTTAGTTCCATAGTGAAATGTGTTTGTGCTATTTAATAAATTGATTTTGTTCTGCTTTGTGAACTAGTATCATATCCTTTTGATCAAGACTGATATGCTAATTTTATAACCACAGAGACGGAAATGTCCCTGCTTCATCTATCCAAAAGTACCTCATGCAGAAGCTCAGTCTTCCAAGTGAGTCTGAGGTGAGAAATCAGAGTCATCTGTGTCTTATATAGTATTGTTGGGCCTTTGTACACTTGATTTCTCCTCTTAAGAGCTAAGAAATATCCATTCTTTACTGGGATTTGAATTATCTTTTGACAGACTTGTTGCCATGCGAAGGTGAAACAATTGCTTCATTGTTCTTTTATTCTTTTATAGGAACACATTTAGCGATTTCAACAGTAAATTGTAGTATTCATAAAAAATGCATCATGTATCAACTGCATGACACTGCATATGTTCAACCTCTCTTTACAATCCCCCCCTGATGATATACCCCTGGCACCTCCATTTGCACCTTGTAGACATATTTTTCGATTTTTTTTTTCTAATGTAATTGCAATAGGTATTCTTCTATCTGTTTGGGCTTTTGTGGAGGACTAAAGTAGGATCAACCAAGCATGACTGAGAGTCTGAATAGCTCTTGATATTTCTGTTACAGGTGGAAATAAAGTGTTGCGAGCAGCCAGTGAACCCTTCACAACCTCTGTGCAATTTAGTAGAGCTGTGGCTGAAGGGAAGAGCGACACAGACAACTCAGACAATGACTGGTTCGTCCGCTAAAGAGTTTGTGATGGTGCTAACATACGGACGGCCAAAGGCCCCTGCAATGTGAAGGCACCATGCAAACATTCAGCGCCCTCAAACCTATTTTTCCTGTGAGGCAGCCATAGCCAGCCAATTGTTGGCCCTTTGGACGAGGTCATCAAAGATAACTCTCCCTGACGACACAGCCTCACAATATGCTGTGGCTGGCTCACTTCAGGGCTTAGCCCTTGGTGTCACGTTCATGTATCATATGTTGTTTGATTCCTTTAGGATGTCTTTTTCTTATTTGTCATACATCGATAGTGGTATAGATAGAAAGTTGTGATTGATACTTGTAGGTATCATTGATGTTTTGGTTGGCCATAAATTATATAGGGAGAGAAACTTGTAGCCTTTGCTTGTAAGAGATGACCCGAGTTGATTGCAGTCTTTCTGCTGTAGCGTGACTTATCGTAACACCAACTTGTAACCCTATATTTGTATTTGAACTCGTGAGTGACTACTTTTTTTTTCCGGATCGACTCATGCATTATACTCCTAACTCCTTGTTTCAGGACCTGCCGGCCTTAGTTTCAATTTCACATGCAGTTAGCTAAATGCTGTTAGAAGTTAGAACTGATCATATATGATTTGATTTGTTTTCGTTGACTGTCTTTTCCTTTCATGCGCTGCACTATTACCACCTCTGTTTTGTGTCTTTACAAGTCTTCTTTGGAAAATAATTGTGTTGTCCCAATTTGCCAGGCTTCTTGTGATGGACTGATGGTACGGAATATGCTAATTTACCCATCTGATTGGTACAATAATAACTTCCTCGTGGCACATGGTTATTTCAGTCGTCAGTTCAATGTCAAAGCCTTTCGGTGAAGTTGAGTTCTCAAATCGACCTGATCTGAACATTGTTTTGCGGTTGAGTGGCTAGGTTGTTTATGTTTTTTTCCTCAAACAAAGGATACTTTACATTTACAATTGGTAAATATACCATACAATAATGGTTTAGTCAACCTTTCGAAGTCCATCTTTTAATCTTTAATCATGATGCTCCTCTTATAGGGTTTTGATTTGAGAAATGAAGTGGTGCATCATCGCATAACTTACTACCTTCATCTTATAAGTCAGTTCATCCTTCTTGGGAGTCAAAATATCAAGCTCCAAAATATCAAGCCCCATCATCGCAAGTACACCACTTCCTGTCAAGCAAATGCAGCTAAAGTACCAAGCGTATCCACGTTGGCAGCTCAGGAGACGCCCTCCGTTTCCAATCGCAGTGCTAATAAACTGGATAACAGATGGAGCCCGCAGGTCTCCCTCCACGGCTTCACCTGCTCATCTTCTCTTCACATGAGCTGCTATCCTTTAAATAATCCACCCGTCCTCTCCAACTCACGAGAACGAGAACCCAACATCACACAACTTCACAGCGGAACTAGCACTCCCGTCCGTCCGCCGGGCCGGCAAAGCCAACATGTGTGGCTTGGCGCAGGCCAAGAAGCCGACGCCGACGGAGAGGAGGCCAGCGGACAAGGCAGAGGAGCAGACAACATGCGTGGCTTCGCGCAGGCCAATATGCCGGCGGAGAGGAGAGTAGCCGACAACATGCGGATGCGGCTGGGCGCCTGAAAGCTGCCGTTCCGGTCTGTCTCCCCGTGAATCCATCTCGCATGCATCGGAATTGGTCAATCAATCCGCTGCTTCAGCATGGTGTGCTTGGCGGGCCAACTAGATTAAACAAAGCAGTAATTTATTTGACTTCTATATGTTGCTTTTAAGATTCTAAAAAAAAAAATATGTTGCTTTTAAAATTCAGTATCATTTTCCCTCTCATTCTATATATACTTCCCTATCATCAGGTCCAGGTGGATGACTTTCCTAATCCAACATAATACATTATTGTTATTACCTGAATCTGCATCGTGTGTTCTTCATGTAGTCATGTGCTATTTGCTAGTAGCTAGCTGATAACACAGGTCAAGGTGACAACCCAAGCAATGCCCACTTTCACAGTGTAATACTTATTGTTTCCTCACGTTCTGCTTTTTAGAAAGGATGATTTGTATTTGCATCATTACTTATTCGTAATGGATTGCTATCTACAGCTTCCACGTGAGTACATGGATGGTTTCATCTTCTCTCTATATACATTTCTTTATCAAGAGATACCGTTTGATTGATAGGCGTTTTTTTTGTCAAGCTTCTTAGCCACTGAAGATGGGTCATTGTCTCCCAAGTTTAAGATGTCAAGCTAAAAAGACAAGATTGTTCTACTTTAGGGCATTTTTCTCTACATGAAGAGAAGAGTGATGCTAAGATACTTGCTAAAAATGACGTCCGAAACTATCACTGCCCCAATTTCTTTATTTTAGTACCGGTAGCATAGACGTCCCTACCATGTACGCTGAAGTTTGTAAAATGGGATGGACAATCATATTCACGTAATTATTCATTGTTTATATGGACTTTCCTCACCTCTCCTTCCAGAAGCTCCGTTTTTATACAACACTACAAAATTCTGCAGCAAGGTGCGGGATATCATATAGTTATATTTAACCAGATGTCATCAACAATTAGACCGCTTATAGACAATTCATATAAAAGCTTGTCTATTGTGTTGTCCATCACTAACAAGAATCATCCTACGAACAACCGCTGCCTCGATCATGGTACATGCCCTTATTCACATGACTTGTCGTCATTTTCCACTTCATGGTTCTATTTCAAAACTATTCCTGTGTATCGTCTATACCTGAGCAAATCTAATTGGGCCTATTTATTTTTAGGCCGAAAACTTGCAATATGGTTGGGTCCAAACCCATCCCAAACCTGCCCATTGTGTGGGTCTAGCCGCATATGGTAGGCCGAAACTAACTAGGTCTTTTGCAGGTCCAGTCTAACCAGATCTAATATCACCCTTTATTTTCCTCGCCAAGTCAACATTTTCATCTACTAAAATCAACTCACCAAATATACAGTCGCGGGCTTAGGCCGTGCCCAATGCTACATCGTAGATGGTGGTTTCAAGGGCCACATGTGCACCGAATATCCAGGTCAAGTTGTCTTGTATCCTCGCAGGTGGTAAGAGTATCCTGCAGAGGCATCGTAGATGGTGGTTTCAAGGGTCTGACAAAAGTATGAAGCACTAGCCAGAGCGCGCGTGAGACTATCTCCAACGATAGTTGCCTAAAATATAAAACTCATTCTATGTACAGGCAAATGGTTTAATATATATTTTTTTGTCTTCTCCAACAACAAGATCAAAAAAAAATTATTTCTGCAAATAGGTCTTCAGGAGAGAGGATACTCAGATTTGGGTTATACCTCTTCTGACACCCAAAATGAATCTTCCATACTCTGTTGGAGGCTATAGGTATTATGATGAAGAACTAACATGCGCTAATGATGGATTAATTAGGTTTAATAAATTCGTCTCGCAGTTTTCAGACGAGCTATGTAATTAGTTTTTTTTATTAGTATTCGAAAACCCCTTCCGACATTCCCGAAACATCAATGTGACGTTCAAAATTTTTCATTTCGCGAACTAAATACAGCCGATGGGTCTCCTCTCGGAGATAGCCTAAAGATGGAGAGAATGGAGAGATTGACAAACAACCGAGTGATTCGCTGAAAAGCAAAAAAGCTACTTCCTACAGATGCACAGAGGTGAGGTGGTAACACCGTAGGTCCTAGACCTTAATATCTATCTGGACATCTACCTTTTTTTAAGGCTAATAACTTTTTGAAGACATGTTGGTCTTGCCCTTAGTTTTTTTTTCTTTTGAGGTTAGGTCTTGCCCTTAGTGACATAGAAGATGGTAATCTTTTGGGACTGAATTCTCCAATTCGCTTTGACTTTAACATATCACTCCTTCTATTTTAAATTCTAAAACATTTTAGTTTTTCTAGATATATAGTTTTTGTTATAAACTTAGATACATAGCTTTTGTGATATAATATATCTATATAGCAAAAATAATTTACCTTTATCTAGAAAACTAAAATATCTTATAATTATTCAATCGGCCCCCAAAACCCAAACCATTCCACATCCACAGTAGTTTTAATTTACTGTCCTATAAATTTATCTTACTTGACGACTTTATTAAAAAACAGATTATCTTCATTGTCGCTTTCATCACCGCTCAAAACCCTTCCCCCTCCTTCCTTTTCCCCTCGCGGCTCGAGTGCTCGAGCCGTACCAAATCTCGCAGCGGCTGCAATCCCTGAGCCCGAGGCGCGGACCAGCGGAGGACCACGCCCTCGATTCTGTCTGCGACCGGCGCGATCCACAGAGATCCAGAGATGCAGCAGGTAAAGTGGTGGCGCAAACCCTAGCCCCCCTATCCCAAATACCCCCTCCCTTGCTTGGCTTAATCATGGCTTAATCCTAGCGGTGTTGTTGTGGTGGGGGATTGGTTCCGCAGGGCGACGGCACGGAGGCGCAGGTGACGTGGGAGGACCAGCAGAACATCAACCGCTTCGGCCGCCTCAACAACCGCCTCCACGAGCTCCAGGACGAGATCAAGCTCGCGAAGGTGGATTCCTTGACATCTTGCTTCTTTTTCATGTACTATCTCCTGGTATTTACACCGTCTGATCTATTTAGAGCGAACTGGAAACGGGGGCGCTAGTCGTAGCCTTTGAGCAGATTTAGTCTTTAGTGACCTGCCAGGTGCCGATGCATTTGGTTTCTAGGTTCTTGGGAAATGGGGGTCATGGTACCCCATTTGTGATTTACATTTCTTTGGGGAAAAAATGCCGGAGAGAGTGCATTTGCTGATTGTTTGCAAGAACACAGGGGACAGAAACATCTCATGGATTATTTGTAGGGGAAAATTGGTTTCATAGCATTGAAAGATCATGAGATTCAGAAAATACCACTGAAAGAACTCCATTACGTAAAATACCACTGAAAGATAGAACCGTTATCCGAAAGTAGCATTCCGTCCGGTTTGAAGGTAACACCGTCGATTCCCGTCCATCTAATAAAGGCAAAAAAAAAAATCCAACTCCCAGCTACTCGAGCCGGACATGGAAGATGCAGGGCGGCACCGGCAGCGATTAAGCGGCGCTTGAGACGGCGGTGTCCGTGATCGAGGGCATCTCGGCAGCTCGAAAGCGGTGCATTGCAGCGGCGCTTCATGCGTGTGGCCGGCCGGCGGCGTCTCGCTTGCTTGGTAGCAAGATGGCTCGAGTAAGCGTGGCAGCGGAGGTTTCACGTGCTGCGGCGGCAACTCGAAAGCGGGGAGGGTGGCTACTCGGCTGGCGGCGCAAGCGAGGTGGCGGCGGGCTGCTCGGCGCGCGCAGCGTGGCGGCTTCGGCGAGCGAAAAAGTTGGCGCGAGCAGCGGCGGCCGAGCGTGAGCAAAATCACCGGCGAAGATTAGGCCTCCTGAATCCGCAGTTGAATCCGCGCAACATGGACTCGAAGAAGACGCTATGGAAACGAGGCAAAGAAACAGCCTTGGGCAGATGTCCTGCTGGCCTGTTGACCCAGTGGGGTACCCACCATGGAATTTGTGGTGTGGATTGGCTCGGCGGCCGCTCGTGCAAGTGTTTTTTTCAGTGTGACCTACGCCGGAGCTGAGGAAGACGAAAGGGATGGGATTTCCACTGGTGCTCACGTGGAAAGAAGGGAGGAGCAACGGTGGATTCACGTCGTTAGCTCAAACCGTGACAGAATGGTAGTTTCAGGTAACAGATTGTTTTTTCGGTGGTATTTCACGTGGCCGTGATATTTGAGTGGTATTTTCCGAATCTCATCATCTTTGGATGCTATGAAACCATTTTCCCTATTTGTAGTGTTGGCTTAAGTTTTATTTGGTAAATCTGTGAGTCTCATTTACATATCACAGTCGTTTGCTAGATACATGGACCATTTTATGGCTTTCACTTTGTCTATGCATCTGTTTTGTTCTCAGTATTTCCTTCATTTCTGTATGGCAATGTGATACTAGTTTATGACTTGTTTGATTTTGGATAAATCTGTAAGTCTCATTAGCTGTATTTTTTTGTTGGATTTTGGGATTTGCTATAGATAGCATCTATTTTTTGAAAGGTTCTCAGCCAATTCACCCATGAATATTATAATAAAAAATCTAGGGTAATATTGTGATCTTGTGCAAGCAAGTTAGGGAAAAAATGGTTTACAGGGATTTTGGACTTGCTAAGAATTTTGGGTGACCCTGATTCTGGCATGTTATGAGAAGGCACCACCTGCATACTTTGTTCTGACTCAACTTCCTTTGTCCAGCCAGCTCCAGCCCCCCCTATTTTTGCACTTCCTTCTCACTGCAATTGCACTTTAACCATATATGGACTGTAGTGGATTTTGGGCTCCAATTCACTTAAGTGCTTCCACCTTATATAAAGAGTTGAATAGAAACTTGAGTTTGTATACATCTTTCATATTAAAAAATTAGAACGCATTGCATCTGTTGAATAAAGAGGTGAACACAAACTTCAGTTTATACACGTCTTCCCTGTTCAAAAGTTAGAAGCGCCTTGCATGTGTAGATTGTCATAAAGCATTCCGCCTTGTACCAGAATCTTCAAGTAAATATGAACTAAGAATTACTAGTGCAGTTCTTAATTCTACACATTCTTGATAACCATAATGATGATTCTATCATTCTATGGTGACTTGGGTGTGATTGTAGGATTGCAGGATGCCTTCAGTTGATGTCTTCTCATAACTTGAGAAATGAGATTTAGCCAAAAAAAAAATGCCAGAGAACAACGTAGAAAGTGTAACTTCATATCAATTTCCTTTAAAAACTCAATTTGCATTGGGCTGTTCTATATTCTCAATGTTTATATCAAGGGTTGTTGCTGTAGTATACCAAGTCAGTTTCTTTTCAGCCATTGAGGTATCGTGTGTAACTGTGTATTGATGTCTAGTCTCCTGAACTAGTTATCTTGACCTCTGAGAGATGATATGCTAAGAAATTGCTGTCAGTAGGCTATTGCGGTGTTGAATTTGTGTGTTTGTGCCTCGGAATGGGCATTGTGTTACTTTTTCACATGTTGATAAATGTATACAGATCAGATATTTGGGCATGTTCCCCAGCTTATCTGACATGTTCTCCTTTAGATATTTTTGTAGATGATTTTTGAATTAATAACTATATATATGTTTTCATCTTTATCTTAATAATAATCTTTCATAGTTGGTACTGTCTGCAAAGATCACAATATTTCTGTTTTCTTTTCGTTTGTTTCATGACATGATAATTGCAGATGTAATTTTCAATTTAGATTAGTAAAAGAGGATTGTGAAATTAGAATTGTACTTAACATCACTCTAAGTTTCGCTGCGTACTGCCACAATTTGTTATGTGAGAGTTTTCATGATTCTTGTGGGTAATGAACCTTTTCATGTGAAATTCCTACATCTGAAACATTTTCAACATTACATCTCAACCTTAAAGGCCATGCCCTCGTTCACTGTATGTTCCAGGAAACGAATGAGAACCTTGATGATGCTGGGAATGAACTCATCTTGTCGGATGAAGATGTTGTACGCTTCCAAATCGGGGAAGTGTTTGCTCACATGCCAAGGGATGACGTCGAGACTAGGCTGGAGCAGATGAAGGAGGATGCGGCTAAGAAGCTGGAGAGGTTAGAGGAGGAGAAGGAATCCATCCTCGCTCAGATGGCCGAGCTGAAGAAGATACTGTATGGGAAGTTCAAGGATGCCATCAACCTGGAGGAAGATTAGTAGTACTGGGGTCCTTGACGATATGGCCCTTTTTCTAGTTCAGGTGCTGTTTTTTGTTTCCCTGCCCTCCCACAAACATTAGTCTTGTGATGCTGGCCTGCTTGTGTAACAGAAGTTCTTTCAGAAGCTTTTTACCCAGAAGAACCCAGAAAAATAGTTTCATTCATTCCGCGGGTGTATACGGATTAAAGTTAATTAGCCCTGGGCCGATGAATCCTTTTTCAGTTCGATTTTTACTCGGTGCATGTGGGTACATCCGTTGACCTATTTTCCAGCAAACCTGTGAGTGCCAGAAAACACTGGAGACAAGGGCATGTGATGTAGGTCTTCTCTGCCTAAGTGGTTGAGTTTCATCTGCACCCTTGCCTTACCTGGCAGTGCTCTCAACAGCTTCGGTGATATTTGGAAAAGTATTTAGAGATGGAGGTAGTACGTGAATTTTATTGACGTGGATCTGAATAAAGTAATTTGAATGGCAGGAGATGAGGGAGGGAAATGCGTGTGAGATTCCACTCACACGGTCACACACGGCCATCTCCCAGTCGCAGTCCAGATGCATGTCCTTTTCTTTTGACCTTTCAGCAACTCCCATGGATGGATGCAGCCGCAACTTGCAACGCATCAGGAACATGTGATTCCTGGGGGCCCTACGCCTCACGTGTCCATGACTCGTTAATATGCTTGCGGATGAGGCATTCCAACGAATGCTGTACATCTAATCTTAATAGCAATAATTGTATCATCAGGACGATGCTGTACAACGAATCAATGCAAGCCCCGCACGTTACAGGTTCAGAATTTCCTCCCGACAGGCATTCCAATCTTAATTGTTAAGCCAAGAGTTCTATATTATATGCGAAAAATGGGAATGCCCATCATCTTTCGTTTTGTATCATATGGCTCTGCTTTCATCTTTAGGGTGTTTGATCCTCCACAAATATGGACTAAATTTCAGATCCTTTAAATCTGATTTGAGTCTATTTGGCGGGATCCAAACACCACAATTAAAAAGTTTGATCCTCTAAAGTTTAGCTTTAAAATTTTAGCTAGCTAAATTTTTGACTCTAGATTCTAATTTGAGTAAGGGTGGAGGGATCAAATAGTCTATCACATCGTGAATGTTTAAAGTATTAGTATTAAATATAGTCTAATTAACGAAGGATCCAAACACTAATTTTTGAGACGAATCTTTTAAGCCTAATTAGGCCATGATTTGACAAGTGCTCTGATAAACATGTGCTAATGATAGACTCTGGAAATTAGCCTCCATCTAGTAATTGGTTTTTAATTAAATATTTAATGCTTCTTATTAGCATCTAAATAATGTGACATAAATTTTGACCATCGGAGACTAAATTTTAATGGCGCAGTAGAACGACAATGTTGGAACCCATTGGTTCCATTCATAGATCCAACTGCGACGATTTCTCAAATTTCATAAAGGTGCTATGACAAAGCCACCTAATTATTTATATGAAGAATTATATTCCCAAGTTCAATTCACCTTCTTTAGTCAGATGTATTTTTTTGACGGTTAGAGTCCAAGACACCACCCATATGTATGTATCTCCCTTGCGTGCTGGAGGTAGAAAACATACTAGTCCAAACCCGTGTGGATAAACCAAAATAATGTAGACTTATACTGTTTTTTTCACAAGTCTTGCCAAGTGGACGAGGAAAGCCTTTTCCAAAGACAATGCATTTGTGTTAGGTTAGCTCTAATCTCTTCGTAGTATCAAAAGCGTAAAGATGCCATGTCCAAATTTGTCATCTTAAAATATACTTCCTCTCACTTTCTCTAAGGGGAAGGTTAAAAAAAACGAGTCCCAAAGTTCACTACCAGTCTACCACCTATATATAAATTCGCATTAGGTGGTAAGGCCTTATTTAGTTCCTCCTCTAAAGTTTACTTTTCTATCTTATCGAATCGTATGACATATGTATGGAGTATTAAATATAGACTAAAAAATAATTAATTGCACAGTTTATGACTAATTTGCGAGACGAATCTTTTAAGCCTAATTAGTTTATGATTTGACAAGGTGGTGCTATAGTAACACATGTGCTAATGATGAATTAATTAGGCTTTATAAATTCGTCTCGCGAATTACTGACGGATTCTATAATTTATTTTTTTATTAGTATCCGAACACCCATATAAAACCCGATATGACACCCGACGTAACAGCTAAAACTTTATACCCTGCATTTAAACTATCCCTAATTAGCGTTTCCCATGTGAGCGTAGCAATAGTCAACAAAAGCCCACTTTCTCACTGACTCATGCCTTTGACATTTTGACCCCCCGCAACAGCTCATCAAGTCATCGACCCGCACTAAACAACGCCGCCGCCACCCCCCACCAGCAAAACCCGCATCCCCAGCCGTCGATCGCCTCCAAATTCCATCACCGACGGCCAGGATCGAATCAATGGTCCTATTAAAAAAAAGAATCAACGGTCAGGGTTTTCTAATCAGGCCCCGCAATAAACTACTCCGAGGGCGCCAGCCTTTTTCAAAGCCGGAGGGATCCGGCTGCTATTTTTATATAACCGGCGTCCTCGGCTGCGAAAAAAGAAATGCATTATTTTTTTTCCTCTCTCTTCGCTCATTCTGTCTGCGTCCGGTCTTCTTCGTCCCCTTCTTCGCCTTCACACCTTCGGCCATTTGCGACTTACCATCCCGTGGGCGACGACGACCGCCGCCCTCCCTCTGGCCATCGGGTCGCGGCTCCCTGGATTCGCGACACCGCGTCCGTCTCCGGATCGTCTCGGAGGTGAGCTCGTGGTTTGGGTGGTGATGCTTTTTTGTGGGTCGTGCGGCGGTTTGGTGCCTTTGGTGATTGATTGCCTTTGTCTGGTCGAGTTCCTTCCTGGCGTGCGAATCTTTGGATTATTATTAGGAGGTGTTCCGTCCGTGCAGTGGGGTTCTTGTGGCCGTTTTGATGCGTCTGCACGCAAGAAATCGCTGCCCCCCGGATCGTTGCTTGCCGCGGCCGTCGACGTCGGCCTCGGTGTCCGCGCCCGCCGATTCTGGGAGGGATTTCTTGCGGAGACGGCTCCGCCCGTGATCCGCTCACGAGCTGCTTTCTTGGCTCTACGCTTTTCCCGATGCTGCCTGTTGCGTGGTGTACTGTTGTTATTACGATAAAAGAAGAGCTGATGAGCTTCTAAGCTTTTCTTAGGATCTGAGTGTTTTTTTTTTCCTGCTGTCCAGATCTGCTGCTGACGGAGTTGCATATAATCTGAGGTGCTCCTGAAGTGTTCAGAAGAGGTTCCTGTTTTATTTGTTTTCGTTGGTGCGAGTGTAATGGAGGAAGTGGAGGAGGCCAACAGGGAAGCCGTGCAGAGCTGCCACAGGGTGCTCGCCTTGCTCTCCCAGCCGCATGACCCCGCGCAGGTCAGGAGCATAGCTCTGGGCACAGACGAAGCATGTGCCAAGTTCAGGAAGGTGGTCTCCCTACTCAGCAATGGAGGAGTGGGAGTAGGAGAAGCCGGACCATCAGGCGCACTTGTAAGCGCAAGCGCAAGCGGAAGCCATCCGAGAGCTAAGCTTGTTAGCAGAAAACAGAATCCAGGGTTCTTAACTCAGAAAGGCTTCCTGGATAGTAACACCCCGGTCGTGGTGCTGAACAGCGCCCATCCTTCTCCTACCTCCGCGCAGGTGTATCCTAGAGCTGGAGCTCTGGATGCACAGGGCGTGCATCCCCTCGGAGGACCTCCTAAGCTGGTCCAGCCTTTGTCTGCGCATTTTCAGTTTGGCAATGTGTCGTCACGGTATCAGTTCCCGAATCAGCAGCAGCAGAAGTTGCAGGCTGAGATGTTCAAGAGAAGCAACAGCGGGATTAACTTGAAGTTTGAGAGCACCAGTGGTACTGGGACAATGTCATCGGCGAGGTCCTTCTTGTCGTCTCTGAGCATGGATGGTAGTGTGGCTAGCCTGGATGGCAAGTCATCGTCGTTCCATTTGATCGGTGGGCCTGCAATGAGCGATCCGGTGAACGCGCAGCAGGCCCCAAGGAGGCGATGCACGGGTCGTGGGGAGGATGGGACTGGCAAGTGCGCTGTGACAGGGAGGTGCCATTGTTCAAAGAGAAGGTACATCTGCTACCCCTGTGCTTATTATTACTATTTTAAGTTCAAGATTTTTAATGTCATCGCTGTTCTTTTTATTTCAGTAGGAAGTTGCGGGTGAAGAGGTCGATTAAGGTTCCTGCCATTAGTAATAAGATTGCTGACATACCTCCGGATGAATACTCATGGAGGAAGTATGGGCAGAAGCCAATTAAGGGTTCCCCTCATCCTAGGTATGGACTGAAGTATTACTAGTCTAATCTTTCTTGCATGCATGCCCTTTATTAAATAGTGCTTTAAAATACCTGTGATGATTCCACAATTAATGCCAACAATATCAACTCATCAGTTTTGTCAGCAAAGACGGCATCATTTGCAGTGTGATAATGTGGTACAAGTTCCATGACATACTCAAGTGCCTTCTTGATAAATAATGAACCGATGATAGTCAGAACATGCTTTATCTGAGTGAATATTTTCTCAGATGCTGTCTACATTTTTTTTCTGTCCTCAAGGTCCTTCGTTATCGAAGAGGCTGTTGCTCTTTCTTTCCTGTGCACTTTATGGAAATTGATCAATCATGGTGCTTAAAGTGAGCACATTTTTTTTTAATTGAGCTAAGATTATCCTGTGATGATTCATTATCTCCAAAACCCCCTCACCATGTCAGTTGCCCACCTTATCTGTAGCTTTAGTATCTTGATAGCAAGTTGCATATTGGTAGCAACCACATGAATATAGTTGTTCTTCCTATGAATGATGCACATCTTTGTCTCCTTTTAGCTAACACTAGATATAGGAACACTTGGTGTATTTCCATTCTTAACATAGCTACATGTTGCTATCTTGATGTTGGCATAAGACCAACTCATTGCTTTCTTGAATAAAATGCAGGGGTTACTACAAATGCAGTAGTGTGAGGGGCTGCCCAGCTAGGAAGCATGTCGAACGGTGTGTGGATGATTCTTCGATGCTCATCGTGACATATGAGGGCGAGCACAACCACACCAGAATGCCAACTCAGTCAGCACAGGTGTAGAGAGAACTCATCATCACTGCACCTCCTTCAGGAAGTGCCACCATGCAGCCTTTGTTGGCAACGGACTGCTGCACTGGTCAGGTTAATAATGATTGTGTGGAGACATTTTTTGCTGTCGTTGAGATGTTTGGCCCTGCTTACACTACACCCACATGATTTGTAGTGAGAATGAAGTGGGTGAGCACAAGATTTTCTTCTCCCTTATGGAGGTTATCACAATGATGATGACGAGGAAGAACACGTCATTAGATAGGACAGCTGAGCTGTTGCTCAGGATTAGTGTGAAGAGGTGGCGGCAGGGAAGATAAAAGTTGATGGGAATGGGACAGTTGCGTAAACTTAGTAAAAAGGGGAGTAAAAATAGAGCTGTTCTTCTTGGACTACCCTGATTCCCTCCCTCACTCACCTGTATCAAGAATAGTGTCAAAACTGAAAAGAAGTGCACAGAGGCTGTCATTTGCTGTTACAGCAATTCATTCATTCATAGTCCAATGGTCAACCTGTCAAACTGAAGATGCTAGAATTGTATTTCTTTTCCAGACGGAGGGAGTATTTAGCATATGTAGTTTTAGAGAGTGGTGGATAATTATGGATGAAATTAAGTATCCGAAATATCACTTTCATCAAAAGTTGCGTGCAGATATAAGTTAGAAAACTGCAGGAACGTCACACATTCTCTTCATATTTAATTGCGCAAAAAACAGTGCACGGGTCACCAGTGCACCGTAGTTCAAGATCATTTCTCCATGAGGATATAATAATTGCACAGTTTAGTTTTTTTTCTGAAACTGTCGACAGTAGTTCAGGTTGCAATTTTTTGCAATCTAAACATGGCCCAAGATCATTTCTCCATGAGGATATAATATTTTTTTTTCTGAAACTGTCGACAGTAGTTCAAGCACTGAAACTTAGTTGGAGATCATTTCTCCATCAGTGTGTTATAATTTCGGCGCTAGTTCGGACTTCGGAGTGGTCGAGCATGGGTACACTGTAGAGATTAAGTAGTGGTGTTGGTATGCTGTAGCATCAAGAATTTTTGCATATTCTGAGCTCAAGATAAGCGTGCGCAAGGGATATGCTGGCTGGCATGCGTTCTTGATGCAGTTGGCCTGTGACTTGCTGGGCTGGAATGGACTGCTAGCTATTGGGAAGAGAATAATCACTTTATTGATGCCGCCGGCAGTCCTAACCCATAAACTATGCTCTGTTCGCTTGAACTTATCGTCTCATGAAACATTGGTTTATCAGTTTAACTTATGGAACATTGTTTTTGTTTCACGTAGAAATTGCACAACAAAATCGACCGACGAATAGATAATTACTTCAAAACCATCAGCCATACTTGTTAAGTCACGTAGAAATTGCACAACAAAATCATATTCTGAATAGATAATTACTTCAAAATAGATTTTGTCTTTCCTATCATTCACGTATCCTATTTCTTTCTATCTTGATTCTTATGTAATCCATTTCCTTCTCTCTCTTTCTTAATTTTGTCATATCACCATAGTTAGCACCTTAATCAATACATATAAAGACCACCTTTCTGGTGTCCACTAGGACAATATATTTATACTCCCTATGTTTTAAATTATAAGTCGTTTTGGTTTCTTTAGATACATAGGTTAGATACTACGCTACATCTAGATACATAGCAAAAAAAAAAAAACTTATGTACGTACCTACAAATCCAAAAGGAGGGAGTATTTTTTATGACGATTCCTCATTATCATTGTAGTGTGTGCATTGGAAGTCTTGGGGGGATTGAAAGGAAAATTTAGTTCAGCCTCCCAATCCTCTCTAATCCACAAGGGGGAATCATTAGTCGTACTCCTATCCAAGCTTATTCCTAAATGCACATGAACACATATATGGGTCACTGCCACATTCCTTTGCTTATTCTCAAATGTCACGGTGCTCCAAACTGCTCCAACAAATTCTTCTGCTTCCGTATATAGCACAAATTTGATATAAAACCCCTGCCGTTTTGTTTACACCAAATTCGATCTGACGGCTACGCCCGCGTATGCTGCTGGGTGCCTGGGCAGGCTGGGCTACACGCCTACACCAGAGTCGAAAAAACGCCCCAATTGCTCTTGTGTGATCAAATTAAGCAAGTTTAATAAACACTCAGAAAACCCGTAATTCATATTATTATTCGTTGCGGCCCCAAACATTTGACAAATATTAAAATCGATATCGATCGTCGTTGATGGCTCGATGTTGCGTGCTACTAGGCAGCTGTCGGTGTCTCTGCTGCAGGTGCAGGTGCAGCTGGCTCGCCGTTGGCGGCCTCCACGGAGCGGATAACCCCCAGGAGCTCGCGCTGGGGCGTTGTCGGCGGTGTGTCCGGCTCGCCGCCGCCGGCCTCGACGGAGCGGACGGCCTCCTTGAGCTCGCGCTGTGTGTCGGCGCGCGCCGGCGCGGCGACCATGTCCTCCCAGACGGAGCGCTCGCCGCAGGTGGTGGTGCCGTCGGGGTAGAGGTCGTGGACGGAGGTGGCGTTCTCGTTGAGCCTGCTCACCTTATCGAGGCAGTCGAACTCCCGGGGCTCCACCAGCAGGCTGCTGCCGACGCCGTCCTTCCAGGCGATGAGCCTGGCGGAGCCCATGGAGTTGGTGCTGTAGAGCCTGGCGCCGTCGACGAGGCGGCTGTACCGCTGGAACGCGGCGGCGAAGCGCTTGTGCGACTGCAGCTGGGACCGCACCCTGACGGCGCGCCGGGTGATGATGGCCCTCCGGATGCCCCTCGCCACGGCCAGGTAGGCGTCGCAGACGACCCCGACGACCTCGATCCGGTACGGCCTCCTGCTGGCCCCGCCGGCGGGCGGGGGCTGCTCGGTGCCGTCGGGCTCCCAGTAGCTCTCGGTGACGGTGCCGTCGTCGGCGACCTTGTAGCCGACGCCCATGCGGTAGCGCTGGCGGTGCACGGCGCGCGCCATGGCGATGGTCTGCTCCACGTAGGGCTCCCAGGACAGCGTGCCGTCCAGGATGACGTCGCGACCCTCGTTCAGCGCCGTCACCAGCAGCGACGACGCCGCGTCCGTCGATGACTGGTGGACCTGTGTACGTCGGCAGGCAGGAACAAACAGCCCAGCCCAGCCCAGCCCAGTGAGTCAGGCCGCAATCAGCAGCGTGGCCAGGGCCAGAAGAGTGCATAGATGAGACAGACAGAATGGGCTATCTGAATCAGCCCATCTGTGGCCCAAATAGTCAAAAACGCACAAATTGCATTGCATTTCATGGCACAGTTTCGGAATAATTCGAATTCTCCCTCCGTCCACTCAAAAAAAAAACTTTAGTCCCTCCGCCCCTTTTAACTGTTCTACCTTTTCGGAAAATTAAACGTACTCAACTTTGTTTAAGTTTATATAAAAATATATTAATATTTATAATATATAATTAATATTATTAGATAGATCATTGAATCTATTTTTATAATAAATTTATTTAGAGATACAAACGTTACTAATATTTTCTATAAATTTAGTTAAACATAAGAAAATTTAATCAACATGTAAACTATAGCGATAAATATTTAGGGACGTACGAAGTAATTTGCAAAGCGTTTTTTATGTACGTCAGCCAATAAATAAATGCGGCCCCCTATTTCAACGGCTAGCTGGCTCCCCTCCCGGCGAGATCAAACCCTATCTCAATCAGTAGGCTCGTGGACCCGGCAAAAGATACCGGTGGCTTGACTGAACCCTATCTCAATCAGTAGGCTCGTGGACCCGGCAAAAGATACCGGTGGCTTGACTGATAAGCTATAACTGAAAGTATTGGTAGCTAATTTATTGTGAGAAAAAATACTATTTATTAACTTAAAAAAATATAATTTATAAATCAAGCGAACATGACGACTGCCTGCCACGTTTTCCACGCATAGTGCTAGTACTCCTGCTCTGCAATCCGGCATGCATGCTGTCTACCCATGCTGCCATGCACATGGTGACAGGACTACACGTGGACCCATCTGTCAATTGCTTGCTGCCATGTCAGGCCTTGTTTAAATCGTAGCGTAAAATTTTGAGGCGTCAAATGTGATATGGATATTCGGATACTAATAAAAAAATAAATTACAGAATTCATCAGTAATCCAAGAGACGAATTTATTAAATTTAATTAATCTATTATTAGCGCATGTGTTACCGTAACACCACATTGTCAAATTACAGACTAATTAGGTTTAAAAGATTCGTCTCGCAAATTAGTTATAAACCGTGTAATTAGTTATTTTTTAAGTTTATATTTAATACTCTATATATGTATCAAATATTTAATAGGATATGGAGTAAATTTTAGGGAAGAAACTAAACAGAGCCTCAGTTGTGGCCGTTGCAAAATTTGTTCGATCTACTGGTCTGTATAGCCAGCTAGCAGTGTCGGTCGGCAAGCTGCCAGCTGGAACGGTACGAACAGGGCCGATGTTATTGCTACGGCTTCTCCATGTGCGATGCCGAACCCATACGCTCCAGCGCACGCCCGTTTGGCCGTTTGGTCGCTTATCGTTTTCTTACTAGCTACTACGAGTAGTTAGTGTGGTACTACAGTTTGCGTTCTCATCACGCAGCTCAGCATGTGGATGACCGGCCTCTAAGTAATTAGGTAATTAACTGATGAAACAATCTGCTTCTGCTGATCTGCATGTACTACACTTCCGCAGCACTTTTCAACGAAAGAAACCTCTCACAATAAATCAGCGTAAGCCCATCAGCTTTTCAGCAAAGGAAACTGACGATGCACGTAGTACTAGTACGCAGCAGCGCTAGCTGACGGCGACGGCGACTGAATAATGCATGCAGTGCAGTAGTGCAGTTACATACCAGCTCTGCCGTCTGGAGCATGTCGTTGTGGTGTCCCATGGAGCTGATGGCGCGGTAGATGACGTCCGTCTCCTTGAAGGCGTCGGCCTCCACCACCACGGCGTTGCCCTCCGCGTTGGCCCACAACGCCTCCTGCTTGATCTCCTTGAGCACCGTGCTCTTCCCCGCGCCCATCCCGCCGCCCATCAGCAGCAGCACCGGGCTGCGCTCCGAGTGCGCCACGGGGGCCATCACGTCCGTGCACTGCGACGACGACCGCGCCTCGCCGCCGCCGACGCCGATCGCCTTCATCTCCTCCACCAGCGTCGAGAACACCCGCGTCACCTTCAGGTCACGCGTCACGCGCTCGAAGCGCTGCTTCCTGTTGTGCATCAGTACATACATGTTATTAATTGTGTATATATACAGTATGTCCATACTGAATTTCAGGTCCAACAACCGAAAGTCACGTCCCTTAACAAAAATGGGCCAAGAAGATAAGATTACATATAGTAACAAATATCAATATATATATATATATATAGAGAGAGAGAGAGAGAGGAAAAAAACCCTTGAACTGATGATGGCATTTGCATTGACCCACACTCTGCAGCGAGTAGTGAGGCAAATGATGATGGCGCCACCTAATTCATCCATCAGTTGCATCTACCCAATATTTTTAGCCACTATATTTTTGTTGAATTTCATTACCCACTATATATTACTATGACCATGTTCGCTTATCTTATAATCTGTACTTTTTAGCTTATTTTTTTAGTTAAAATAATATTTTTTTCTCATAATAAATCAGCCGAAACAGTGTTTCGGTTTGTTGGGCCTATATGTATCGAAGTTTACACCTTAGACTTTACTAGTGTCTGTCATCTGGCTAGGGACACGCAGGCGGAGAATGACCGGTGCTAAGTGATGATCGATGAAAATCCATCTGGGACCAGGCCAGATACTAAACATCTGTACAAGTTGGGTCATGTGGCCCATCACCTAACAAAAAGTGAACCGACCACATGATGATGCCTCAAGTTGGGTGATGGGCCTGGCGCCCTGGCCTACTCCATCACACCATGACCATGATCGGCAGCAGCCCGATGGTTCCAATTATCACTAATTCACCGTGATTGCTGATACTGAAATTTAACTTATATTGAAATGCTGTGAGAGAAAAATAATATTTCATAGCTAAAAAATAGTTCTGGATAAGCTCAAGTGAACATGCCATTATCTCATCTCAAAACTCCTTTTTGACTAAGTCACCGTCTCAGAGCCAAAGGTAGTACCAGTAGTAAATGATTAACTGAATTCCGTATTCCGTAGCGGCGGCTAGAAAGAAGTGTCCGCGCATGTAGGCTTCATTGCGTGTCTCTAAATAATGGCGATTTTGTTGCCTAATATTATTGATTTTGGTTTATTACAAGTACAAATACTCCACAGAGTTGGATACAACATAGCTAATAATACATTTTTTGAGCAATTAGATATAAAGACTAGCTACTTTTTGTTTGCAATTGTGCTTCTAAAGTATTGTTACTAATAAGTACAGATATGGACGTGGCGAAGAGTGGAAAAGGTGGCATATTGGAGTCAGGGTATATTTTGAGTGTAAGCTATATTTTAGTATATCAATAATAAGTAGAATTTGTCTTGTTCTATATAAACAGTCTTTCATGCATGCGAGGGAATCTTTTCAAAGAAAATACTATCAATATATAAACAAGTTGGAATTAGGCAATATAATTAGACTTATATATATTGTAATAAAAATTGTTGTTTTTTTCTATTGTATAGCTGTGTTCTATTAGAAAATATAGATAAGAGAGAAATACACAAAAATATAGGAACGAAGCTGCATTCATGATAGTTTTACCTTGTTGCTTCCAAGACCATGTTCCTCCACTTCTTTTTGGTGCCGCTGTCCGCGGTCAACGCCTGCACGCATTAGTGATGGAAAAGTTCAGTTGACAAGACTAGCTAGACCGTTATTTTATATATAAGTAGACACTTTGACGTACAGCTTAATATACTTGTGTACACAAATTATTGCAACGCCCCTCTCATCATTTGTAGAGGAGAAAAAAAATAGCATGCCTTCAAATGAGAAAACCTATACATCTGTTAAGTGTCTTGTTCCCTTGTAAGTGTAGCACTCGATTTTGGTTCCACCCAACCCATCAATCTCTGCTGCGGTTCGTGTTGAGGTGATTCTTCCTCAACTGCAGCGAGATTAGATTCCGATTACGCGCGTTGCTTGTCCTCACACATTTCTTTTTCTATAAAGCTTCTTTTGAAAGGACTTTTGAACTTTCATTGTCATTGGAATTAGGCAATATGACAAGGACACGTGTAAGCTAAAACTATCATATGTTGATATATATGAAGGTGTATTCATGGAAAACTATCATATATATACCTAGCTACTCTAAGATGTTTTGTTTTCCTTCTTTATATATCAACTTTGCAGAGTTGCAATAGGCTGGGTAGGGTAGCTATATATATGTATAGAGTAAAATATATGGACAGTCCATTAACTTGTGAGCCTGTGTCGATTTGGTCTATCAAGTTTGAAAGTGCATTTTTAGATTCAAAATCTTTATCAGTAGTGCATAAAGAGTCCATACCCATTCGTTTTATGTTTTTTTTTCTACGTGGACATGCCACCGTGGCGATTTTTTTATTTTTAACATTTTTAAACTATTTTTAAAACTGCACCTTTTGTTTTTTATTTTTAAATATAACATTTTTGGCCGTGCCTATTTTGCATGGTGCGGCGAAATCACGTTGCCGCGTCATGTATGGGGGCGCGGTAGGAGCGACGACGTGGCAGCGACCATGGCCGCGTGGCCGGGGCTGCCGTGCCGTGAATCTGGGCGCGGCACAAACACGCCACAGCGCATGGCGCGGCAAGCCTCGCCGCTGTTCATTTTCAACAAAAAAAAGTGCCGCTGTTCATTTTTCAGTTTTCCACCTAAGCCGCATGGACATGAACACATGGGTAGAGGTAGGGTCGGGGCACTGGCGGGTTGGACTTGGGACCAGACGGGACGGGCTGCAGCAAAGCTGACCTACGGGTCACGTGGGTGGACACCATCAGTCCGCCGGGACAGGCAGTGTGGGTGGCCGCCCGCCGGGACAGACAGTGTGGGTGGCCGGCCGCTGGCACTTGACATTTGCTGAAACAACAACCGGACAAGTCAGGGGAGCTGTTGAGCTTGTCAGTGTATATCACTGTAACACCAGCCTTGTTTAGTTGAGGAGAAAGTTGGAATTTAGCTACTGTAGCATTTTCGTTTTTATTTGACAATTAGTGTTCAATCATGGACTAATTAGGCTCAAAACGTTCGTCTCGCAATTTTCCACCAAACTGTGTAATTAGTTTTTTTATCTACATTTAATGCTCCATACATGTATCGCAAGATTCGATGTGATGAATACTGTAGCAACTTTTTGAACTCTTTTTGCAACTAAACACGGGCCTTCCACTTCCAACTTCCAAGCAAGCCTCGTTTAGATTGTAAGTTTTTTCATTTTCTCTATCACATCAAATCTTTAGACACATGTATGAAGTATTAAATATAGATAAAAAAAATAACTAATTATATAGTTTGATTGTAAATTACGAGACGAATCTTTTGAGCCTAGTTAGGCCATGATTGGACAATAATTGTCAAATACAAACGAAAATACTACAGTGCCAGATACTGATTCCTAACCACGATCTAAACATGGCCCAATACTGGCCTCAACAACTCTGAGGATTACCACACAAGGTTCAGGTTGGAACAGGAATACTGGCCTTCACTTCACCGTCTATCCATGTCTAGGGTCCAGTTTAGTTGCAAAAAATTTTGCAAATTTTTTTAAGATTTCCCGTCACATCGAATCTTTGGACGCATGCATGAAGCATTAAATATAAATAAAAAATAAAACTAATTATACAGTTTAGACGAAATCCATGAGACGAATCTTTTAAGCCTAATTAGACTATGATTGGACACTAATTGCCAAATAACAATGAAAAGTGCTACAGTGCCATTTTGCCAAAACTTTTGGCATCTAAACGAGGCCTTGTACATTGCATCAAGGGTTTAAATGCTCGTAGCTAGAGAACTGTCCAAGCCTAAGTTCGAGGCTGGTGTATAAGTCGTTTATGCTGATTTTTACGGTTGATTTGTTAAAAGAGAAAAATATTATACCATAACTGATAAGCTGTAATGGTAACCGAATGGAGCCATTATAAGCTGACTTAGGGGGTGTTTGGATCCAGTGGCTAAAATTTAGGAGGTGCCATATGAGGATGTCGTATGGGGTGTTCGGATACTAATAAAAAAACAAATTACAAAATCCGTCAGTAATCCACGAGACGAATTTATTAAGCCTAATTAATTCGTCATTAGCACATGTTATCGTAGCACACGTTGTCAAATCATAAACTAATTAGACTTAAAAGATTCGTCTCGCAAATTAATCGTAAACTATATAATTAATTTTGTAATTAGATTATATTTAATACTCCATATATATGTGAAATATTTGATTGGACCACGACTATAGAGTTTAGGAGTAACGATCACCCCCTTATACATCGGATGCGCTGTCATGTCGTACGTGTGCTATGCTAGTTAATAAGTGCTAATGCCCAATCATCCGGCCGGTATGTTTTCCCCCTCTGTTTGCTGGTCTGTCATTCTGCATTATTCGGGGTGATTCATGGAGTTGGTACCACCAGCGATCACAGCAGCAGTGTGCTATCCTGCATCGCTGCTTCCTGGTGCATTTGTCGTTTATTTTGTTACCTTTTTCTGCTTGCCAGCCAACTGACATGTCCAGTCGGTGCATTTGTCGTCACCTATTATCGAATGCATCCTAAACGATATTTAAGCCTATAATACGTTTGGCGTAAATCGTACATCTATCTTGCACAAACACTAACACTATATCCAAATGAACCGAACGAGATTTCACATGACCCACATCACCTAGGAGTTCCATCAAGTACGTCCAAAACAATTTCCAAACCTATATTATATTCGACACAAACCATATACCGATCTTAATTCAAGATTAACACTGTCAGCTGAGTAAGTGCCAGCGGCCGGCCAGTCACACTGTCTGTCCCGGCGGACTGACGGTGTCCACCCACGTGACCCGCAGGCCAGCTTTGCTGCAGTCCGTCTTTGTCCCAAGTCCAACCGGGCAGCCCCCCGGCCCTACCTCTAGCCATGTGTTCATGTCCATACGGCTTAGGTGAAAAACTGAAAAATGAACAACAACACTTCTTTTTGAAAATGAACAACGGCTTGTCGTGCCATAGCGCTGTGGCGTGTTAGTGCCACGCCTATATCCACGGCGTGGCAGTCCCGGTCACGTCAGCGTTTAACGGCTCTGGTCGCTGCCATGCCGTCGCTCCTACCGCGTCCCATGCATGGCGCGGCAACATAATTTCGCCACGCCATACGAATAGGCGCGGCAAAAAATATTAGATTTGAAAATAAAAAATAAACACTGTTAGTTTTAAAAATAGTTTAAAAAATATTAAAAATATTAAAAATAAAAAAAATCACCGTGGCAACTGAAGTGGCCTTCATAAAGAGTCCATACCTATTCGTTTTAAAAACAAAAAAAACACGTGACGGTGTTGGGACGCGTGCTATTTGGTTCCTTCCACCGTAATACAAATGTAAATGGAATGAGTTCAAATCTATCTCCCACCTGTAACGTTTGTAGCTTTGTTTCATTTACGTTTGCGTTACCACAGATACGACAGAAAAAAAAATCGATGGTTTGGAGTGACGAGGAGGTACGCACCGAGCTGATGAAATAGGTAGCATGGTCCCAGTGGAATGCAAAATATCCGAGGATGCATCTGTCCAGCTCCTCTATGAGCTTGACGTAAAGGCACTCGGCGTCCTTGGCGTTGGCGAAAAACCCGTAAATGTCCTCCATGCACGTCTTGGTGTTGTTGAGGTAGTTGTTTGCCAGTTTGCACAGCTGTGGGCACTCGTTCACGTCCTGGAAACCCAGCTGCCTAGCTGCATCCATACATGCATGCGCCACAGTAGATACAGTAACATTAATTAGCAGCAGTAAGATGATTTGGTTTTTAGATAGATTGGTTCTACTATGTATCTAGACACCCGGTTCGCTTGAACTTATCAGCCATGTACAGTGTTTTTCTCTTCCGATAAATCAGCGAACAGTACTTTTTAGCCTGACTTTTCAGTGAAGCGAACATGGCCGATAGTGTATATCAAAATGCATAACAAAAACGTTATGTATGTGAGAAAACCGAAACATCTTATGATTTGAAAAGTAGGCAGTATTACTGTATATCCACAGCTAGGATGGTATGGATGGCTGTGCAGGGATATATCAGACATGCATCACAGCATTCACAGTCTCATATCCCATACAGTATATATGTGCTGATGTGTGCATGCATGTGCATCAGTTGTGTATGGGTTGATCTCGATCGACAACGGGGGGCCCATCAGCGGCACGCTAAGTCAACTGCTCATGTTGCGCTCGTCGTCTCTTGTGCTGATAATCATGTATTTCTCCACTAATCTTTCACGATGACACGCTAGCCATGGCCGATAGCGACGTGACCATTTCTCATAAATTAAGGCTGTTGTTTTTGGACGTCACCAATATATGCTAAGGCCGTACATATATCAACTCGATGTACTGATCTTAGCCTTAGGATGAAATAAAATCTTCCTTTTTCTATAAAAAAAACAATATATGCCAAGAGAAGATACATAAAGTTTCATATAATAGGTATTGTCAATTGGAAACTTCGATGCTATATATTGCTAAATAAGTATATATAGTATAATTCTTACCTATGACCACAAAAAAAAAACTTAATTGGATTCTGAAAATTTAACAGTAGTTTGACTGTTATCGTTTTGCAGCAGGTTAAAATGTTAAATGCATGCTTACATAAGCACTTACAGTAAATTGAAGATATTTTTATTTTCCAAAACTAAAATAAAGAATTGCAGCACGTAACTCTCTTTGATCGGACTACGAGGGTGATCGGCAGACGACAACAACAAGAAGAAGAATAAAAATCTGTTTAATGCTTTTCTTTTTTGTGGTGGAGCGCAAGTCTGTCCGATCCATAATTTTTTTTAGAGAAGAGATAGACAGGAGATAAAGCTGGCTACTTTGTCTAATGGCCGGACTACTGGACCTCGACTTTGGATTGTTCTTGTTCAACCACGAACTGACCGCTCGCGCTGCTAAACGTACGACTGGGATAAGGCAGCGACTGAATCTCCATGGACAGGACAGGAACCACTCACTGATGCATCGACAAGACGAGGCAACGGAGAAGGCAAGAAAGAGAGGAGGAGGCTGATGACTGACCCACGTAGTGCGAGAACTTCTCGAGGTACTCCAGGCGGCCGGACTCGGCCACCCGCAGCCGGGGCATTTCGGCCATGGCCGGCGCCTGCAGCTGCTTCCTCCTGTCTCCCCTCAGCCGGCGCCGCGCCAGGGCAGCGGCGGCTGCGACGGCGCCGGCCGTCGACAGCGCGGCGACGTGGAGCAGCAGCACCTTGGCGAAGCCACCACCATCTGCACGTACAGGCCCATCCATAAGAGGAGAGCAAGTAAGAAACAAGGCGTCGTCAGACAAAAGGCAGCCGCTTTGGGACTGGCCGGGATGGGAATATGGGAGCAGCGCAAGTCATCAGAAGAACAAATGCTCGACATGACTAGTAGATATTGCACGCCCGCCCGCTCAGCTCTTACCTTTGGCCATGGCGGATGATGCTCAGCTCCCGAGCGGGGGGATCGGAATCAGACGGGTCGCGGTCCCGGATGCCGGTAGTGCTGTGGCTGTGGCCAGTTGGTGTGGACTTATGGGTGATGGCGCCTCCCTCCCTGGCTCGCAGCGCACGACAGGGACGGCACGAGCACCCAGTACTTATACCCGATAAACCACACATACCAGCAGACGCCGCCTCTGCCCGTAAAGGGCACAATAGGTATCAGAGGAAGGTGAATAAACCCATTTCTATTTTTTCTTGAAGATTCCGTAGTCGCAGTCACACCTAGTAACCTTGGGATAAGACTAGGATGTATCGAAAGCCAAACGAGCACACGAACATGGCAAACATAGGGTGTTTTTTTTATTTATCTTGAGCTAAAGTACAGTCCGGCCGGGTCACCTCGGATGTTTGGAGGTCAATTAGGAAGATTAAACATATGGACCGAAGCAAAGACTTATGCTGCCATATCGGCACAACCTGACGGACCTTGCGTACCTAGAGCTCATGATCTGGAATGGTATGAAGCATGAGAGGGTCATGTTGTGCGGCTCTTTGCCTTTAGTTTTATAAAAAGGGGCTCGACAATTGCGATTAGCATATTGCTTAAGGTCAAGTAAATCATACTTGTTCGCAACCCATATGTCTCTACACCTACAATTGTGCAAAAAGGTGACTGAAGATCAATGCGAAAGTGGTATTTACTAGTGACAAAAACCACGGATATTAATAACTTCTAAAATATCTAGTTTGGTGCTTTCCTAAACCGGCTAGGCCAGTTTTGGACTTTCTCATATTGCAAATCGAACTACACTATTGTGTTCCTCTTATAAGACAATTAAAATGTATATATATAAAGCTAAATTTGGAGTCTGGATGAGAAAAATATACCTTCAAAAAGATCCACCCAGTGCCGGCTATCTTGGTTTTGAAAGCTCAGACGGATGCTGTAGGAATTTCGACGTCCACCCACCTAATAGGCTACCACCGATTGAGGGCATCCAATCTTTCAATACAAATATATATTTTTATCTTCTTCTACCTTACTTTTTTAACCTCATCTATTGTTCTTCTCTTGTCTCCATGGCGTGAAAGGGCACCCTACCTGGCCTAATGATCATAGGGCACACTATAGGTGCGCCTCCTTGACAAGTCGCTCTCAAAAGGCGTTTCTAGGTGAATCTGCTGAAACTGGTTAGGCCACTTTTTCTGGCATCCCTGCAAATTGACTCTAGAGCAACCCAACCAATCCTTGTGCGATCTATGTGTGCTAGCCATTTGAGTGCGAGACCAGATTTGCGTCAACAATCACTTTTTATTGGCTTGATAATTTGTTCTTAGCTATTACTCCTAGTTGCTATTAGCTAGGATGTTTCGATCCAATGGTACTAACTTTACCCACTACAATTAATACTAATGGATCCAATTCGACTCTATTTTTTTACACGTCTCCTATAGTTCAGGCGCCTGAACAATTTTGTCCTTATCCTTTTATAGAAAAAAAATATAATTTATTTATTGTGATTTGTGGTAATATATTTGGACCGTTGGATGGAGATCTGATGGTTGTTAGCTGTCGCCTGAACAGATGCTATATTTCAGGCACCTGAAATATAGCATATCCTATTTCTTTTAACCTTGAACATATCTTCATTGTAAAAAGCATCTAGTAGTGAATAAGATGACAATCCTTGTTAATTGATCCACGTGCATCAGTGTATCTTTCCGCAAGAAAACTGACACTTTGTATCTAGCAAAGTGTTCTTCGGAGTAAAAACAACGTGAGTAATTATCAATCGTACTTATGAAGTTGAAACCACGCCAAACACATGGATCATTGCGGTAGTAGTTGTTTATGTAGTGGAAATATTGAACGGCATCCGCGCGGTTGACTTGTAACGCAATTATCGATTGAATTGTTTGATTAGAGACGAGTGTGAGAAATGTGATGTGTTGACCGGCCGGATCATCGTGGGCCCGGAGTTGATGATTGGTTGTTCAGGTCGTACGTTGATCAGTTAGTTTTGACGGCCGGCTGGTAATTGTTTAATTTAATTAATAATTTATCTGTGGCTATTTTATTATTATTGGCAACTTTATCAACCGTGTTCTGATCAACCAAGAGAATAATAGGTTTAATTTAATAATTTGTCTGTGGTTATTTTATTATTATAGGCAACTTTAACAAGTGTGATGATCAACCAAGAGAATAATAGGCTGTTAACGTCACTGTCTCAACGACCATTTTTTGCTCCATATATATTGGGGGTGTGGGGAATTAGAGATTCTCAGCCCGTTCGGTTGTCTTAAATTTGGCTTGTTCGGCTTGTTTTTTCAGCTGGAACAGTGCTTTTCTCTCACAACAATTCAGCCAGAACAGTGTTTTTCAGCCAGTTTCAGCCAAAGTTCAGACCAGCGAACGGGGCATCTGACGCCCATATAGTACCCTTTTACTACGTCTTTTAATTAATTGTGCTATATATCTCAAAGATAATCAGAGAAGAATGAACAATTCAATTAGTTAATATATATCTAACACCTCTCTCCGGAGCTCTAGATGCAGAGTTTCGTTTGAGAAATGAACCCATTAGATAGGGTGATGCATCATGAGTCTATTACTTAAGTTTAGTGGAATGACCTTATTCTTTATACTAATATTGGCTTACAAGAAACAAAGTGATGATGGATAACTCATTCTTCTATTCCACGAACCAAACAAAAAAAAACTAAAAATTGATATGACGATGAACTACCTCATTCCACAAATCAAACACCCTATATATAGTGAAAAACAGTTATTTTTTATTAGACTATAATACTCTATACATATATATATATGAGCTGGGATTAGAACTCAATAAATCTACCTAGCTAACTACAGTACCGTATTTATTTAACTGCATAAATCGACTGATGAGGCAATTTCACCTAACCCCAACATTTAGCACGCAGCAAACATGGAGGTTAGAAACCCAAACATTAATTATTGGCGCCCTCTCTCTGGCTAACAATAGTTCCACGCTTGCGCATGTAGTGCAGTTGCAACCAACCGGCAACTAACTGTACATGAGAATGAGATGAACCCAGCTGATTATTACCTTCTCTCCTCTGATTTGTTTTCAGTAGCGTTGATTCCGCCTCATCGATAGGTCAACCCATCGTTCCTGATTTGTTTTGCAGGACTTAGACGACGACGACCTTTCTCCTTGTCACGCAACCGATCGACCACCGAACCAATTTATGTATTGTTTATGAGAAGAACACGCGCCTGCTTAACTCACTCTGAATAAAGAATGGCGCGTCCTAGCTGGACGACCCATCATCCAACATCCGTTTCTATCGTATCATGGTCGAGCCATCATCATCATATAAGTACTATATATATCCCACGCACGCCAGGCACGGCATGATTAATGTAATACTCGTCGCTGCTGTAGTATGTGCATCTGGTTATTCAACTTACGGCTTCCGACTCCGACCGACACGGTCAGAGCGGGGAGGCCCGCTCGGTGAGGCCCAAGAATCAGGCGGAATAGATAAGACAAGATGCTCAACTCAACTGTAATACCGAGGATCGTATTCTGCACGTCTGCAGGACAGTACCTCCAGGACATATCAAAAGGGTGCCCTGTAACCTTCCAGATATGTCAGAACACGAACAGTATTATGGGTGTCGATATTTGTCCTACAGTATGGTAGACGTCAACATTTGCCATACCAGAAGAACATGATAGAGCCTGTCACATGCATCTGGGCGTCAATAGTATTGTGGACGCCGACAAAACTGTCTTGTACCCGACGGCGTGGACAATAAGACTAAAAAAAAACACACACACTCTCTTTCTCTCTCTCCTAATTTGTAAGGCCGTCCCCTTCACCTATAAAAGGGGATGCGTTCTCTCCTAAAACGACGATTCATTCAGACTCTCTCTCTGCTAGGCTTTAGAACTCTAAAGCTCTAAAGCTACAGGGAGCATACGTTCTAATACTTAGCGCACGTTGGAGCTCCCGTCACTCTTGGCCCTTCGGTCTAGAGCCCGACCGGACCTTTAACACCCCATTCTTATTCCCACTCGTTTGTAACCCCACATCAAACTTTGAGCACCTGGGCTCAGGAATAAAGTCACCGACCGACTAAAACTGGAAGTATGGCACGTTGCCTAAATCAGTATAAGCCATGTGTCATTGAGTGCTAGACCACATCCGATCACAACGCACGATAAAACTACAAATATTTACTTGATCACTTTTCGCACCGACAGTTGGCGCCGTCCGTGGGGAGGACGCCGTGCGTTCACGCTTTTTTGTCATCGGATGGCCCACCTTTCCACCATCTTCAGCATGACGGGCTCAAACGATACGATTCGTTTAAAGCTTTGCTTTTGCTCCCCACCAACCTAGCAGGAGACCGACCTGGCCAACCTGCTGTCACCTTGCAAAATGGAAATAATGCACGGTTCAATGGAATCACACAAGGAAATTCAATTCGATCGCTATATATATTTTCCTTTTTCTTTCACAAAATTAAACGACCAGAATGGCCTGCTATAGTCGAACCCCATATATGCCTAGCTATGTTTGGCACATAGTAAAGATATTATTTAGGCTCTGTTTTGTCCCATGAGCTTATAATTAACTGTTAAAATTAGCTCGTGGATCCAATTAATCATCCTAACAAATTAATAGTTTAAAATAAACTATTTAGCCAAGAGATGAAAAGTTATTAGTTGTGTCTTACTAGGTAACTACTATCAAGATTTATTTTAGGCTTTAACGATGTTGTTCTTTCTAGTACGGTGATGTGTTCGACGACAACGAGACGTTTTTTTGTGACTTCGACAATCTCAAGATCTACCGGCTCTCAGTTTCAACCTCTCGGAGGTGCTCATAGGGGAGGGGAGTGTGTGTATTTGTTCATAGGTGTGAGTGTATGTATATGTATGAGTGTTTGTGTCTATACTTTGATTAAAAAAAATAACAAGAGGATCTAAAAGGGACTCAACTAATTAATAGGTCAGCTAGCTAATAATCCGCTAATAAAAGGCTATTTGTTGGTTTCTTTTAGCTAGCAGCTACTCCCTCCATCAAATGCATTCCAAAAACTTTTAATGGGCCTGTTCGGAAGCACTTGCTTCTGGTGTTGCAAAAAGTAACAAGGAAATACTGTTCACCCAGGCAAGAAACTAGCAGCTACAGCCCATAACCGCTACAAATAAGTAGAACCAAAGGGACCTAATTTAATGAAATACTCGAATGATGTATGTACCTATAGATTTTTCCAATTAAAAAGTTTCTTCTCAAATTATTGTCTTCTTAACAAACTTTATCAAATCGAGCACCAAACGGAATGCTTTATTTTTTTACTACAAGGTTTAGAAGTCATAATATGTTGTATTTCTGGATGGAGGGAGTGACAATTACTAGCTTGGCTAGATTCAAACAGGCTCTTTAATTGCTATTTTATTGCCAAAATTGCCTAACGTCCTGCTTTGTCGATTTGTTAGTACGTAGGGGTGAACGGTCCCCGTGTAAGTGCGCTTGATTCGTTGCGAAGCAACCCTTTGTGTTTTCTTGTCTTTGTTTTTTTTTATTATTACGTGCAAGACACAGTTCGTATGCACGTTGACTACTTGAACCTCTGATGCGTTAGCGACGACCTTCACTGGTGCATGTTTGGTTGGTCACAGCATTTGTACCATCGTATGTTCTTTGGATGCTTTCAACAGACGCCCAACAGTTGCCACTGTTTAGACCGCAACTATCCAATAGGCAATTTAGCCATGCGTTGGTCGCAAAATGCTTCAACTAGTGGCAGGTTGACACGTTTGTTTTTTCCAGTGCGCAGACATGTCTTTCACAGACAATATATACATCTCATGATCGGACTAGAATACTATTATTCATAATGTTGTTTCTATCTGTTTGAAAACCGTATAACATTGGGTCACCTTCATCTTTCAAGTTTGTCCACAAGTTGCCCAAATGTGTTGCTCCAAATACAAACATGCAAAGCTCGGAGTTTAAGGACGCACTGTCGGCGCTCACAAACTATACACAGAACAATGACCGAGCAACAATCACATAACATACTCATCATGGATGTGACTACCATAATGATCTTTACCATACACAGTAGCAGGAGGGCGTTCAGCTCCACACTGTCATTATTCGGCAACTAAATCCTTACCATCACACCAGGAAAAAGACGCCGTGAGGACAGATCCTTCAGGAAAGAAAAGAGGACAAATCCTCGGTTTGCTACTACTTGAATGAATACTAATAACCATAGCTGGGAGGGTATGTCGGGCCACCGTAGCTCCCACCATTGTGCTGCGGATGAGGCCTGGCAGCCGCCGAAGGAGCTGCTCCATATGGTGGTGGCCTGGTGGGTAAGAGCCATAGCTCGGATCAACTGGTGGAGCGGGAGGGTTAGAAGCTGGCGGTGGGCCTGGGGGAGCAGCCTCTGCCATGAAATTCTACAAAGTAAGAGGTCACATTATTAGCTAACAGCAAGGGGGCCATCGAAAGGTGAAATATGTTTTGGTTAAAAGAGATGGTGCAATATATTAGCTGGCAATCCGAATTAGCTGACAATCATCAAAGTAAAAGGTCAGATTAGCATCACGTGAGCAAATTCTAGAACTAAAGAGCACAATCCGAATTAGCTGACAAAATTTATGACACGTGCAACGCACGGCAGAAAAAGGTACCTGGATCAGTTGCTCAGCAGTTTGAACTTGGGCTGCAGTCCCAATTATCTCCACAGTCATCTCTCCAGGTGCACCTCTGCTTTCTTGAATAGTTACTGTTGCGCCACTGTGTCTACGGATATAATTGATACTAGCACCAGCTGCCCCAATCACAGCATCAGCATAGGCAAGGGGAATGTGCATGTTATGAGTCACCTTTCAAAAATACATAAAAATCAGTACCAGCTTGGCACACCAACCAAATGAAAGCACAAACCATCTTAAGTGCAAAAGAACTTACCTGAGAACCTGCAATAGAGGGTGGTTGAATCCCTGCAGCAGAAGCACCACTTGGTGGGGCCTCCCTACCATATGCAGAAATACCATAGTGCGGCTGCTTTTCCATAGGGGGGGCATCAGGAGGGATAATAACTGTCTTGCGGCCTTGGAGGCATGAACTGTGGATTTCCTCCAAAACCAGGACCACCTGGAGGAATGTTCGGAGGAGGGCCCCAGGTTTGAGGGCCCCAATGCTGGAGAGGTGGCACTGGTTGCTCCCTCGGCATACCATGCATTTTCATCTGCAGAGATTAAAATTTACATTGTCACACACTGCATGCAAAACACTATTACTGACAAATACAACATGCCAAAATAAACAAAAAAACTTACATGTGTTTCAAACAATGGAAGAACACTGCGGTCAACAAGAAATTTTCTTAAGTGACTCGCTATTAATTCCACTGCTTTTTGGACACCAAGAGGCTTGCCTTGTATCTCCACAACTCTATCATCATGTAGTGCAACAGGAGGCACATTCTCTGAACAAAAGTACAAAACCTCGAATTAGAAGTTTGCACCCTTGGAGGATAACAACATACCAGTACAAATATACAAACAAATGATTAACAGTTTTGCTATATCATGCCCAGGTGAAAATTTTGCTTCCTACACCCAAATTTTATGAGCAAGAGTTCCACACCCAGATTAAAGGTGTTGTAAGAATAGGGTGAAATATATATATTCCCCACACCCGAATTTTTAGTTACGCCAATTCTACCTAGAAATTACACTAAAATAATCACTGTAACTCTAGTACGAGTGTTAATCTAGCACAAGTTGACAGCAACTAAAATGGGGTATGGGAGAGAAGATATTCACCCGAATTTATAGTGAAACCAATTCTACCTAGAAATTACACCAAAATAATCAGCATAACTCTAGCACAAGTTGAGTGTCCATAAGTTGACATTAACTAAAATTGTGATGTGGAAGAGAAGATTTTCACCCGAATCTTAGTTTTATTCCGTTCCATACATGCTTATTTCCTTCCATGCATGCTATTTGGGAAGAAGAAAGGGGAAGAAAAGGAAAGCAAAAAAATCCGGTGCCGGAGAGAAGATTTTCACCCGGGTATGGAGTAGAAAAAAACATGACTAAAGATAAATCCTATGATAATCAGCACAGTGAACAAAGGCAGAAGGTAAAAGTTTAATTATATTGTAGTATGTGTGTAGTTATATTTTCTGCAATACAAATCAGTAAATCTTTTAAAAAAATGCCTGTATGTGTAACATTGTTCTCTAAAAACATAACCAGTAGATCAATGAACTTTTAGGTCCTTTATAACAACACATGTCAAAGCATCACCAACAAACTCTTTTTTCTCATTGTTTTTTATTTAAAAAAGAACTATAACATCATTTAGTTTCCAAGTTTCACGGTAAATCAGTTAAACAGACTAGATTCCACAGTTTACATCTAAATGTCCAGCTCAGAAGAGTATTTTTCTTTAATGCCGAACAGGTTGGTGCTTGGCATGGATCCATAGAAATCAGTTAAACAGACTAGATTCCACATTGAAGAACCAAATAAGACGCATTTATTTATGTGGATAGCAAAGGGAAGTAGTATCATAATTTCCTAATGGTCATTAACCAAGCTGCAGATCACAACACACAGCTAAGGATGGAACTCATGCAACATATCAAAGAGGGATAGATCCAGCATATATAGCATAGAAGAAACGTGACGAAACTTACCAACAATACGGACAACGGACTTAGAAGAATCTTGTATTGATTTAATAGTTGCTCCCTGCTTGCCAATAAGGCTGCCAGCTTGCGAAGATGGCACTAGAAGTCGTGTTGGTCCTATATTACCAGCACTTCGTTGAGGCCGACCAGATTCACCATCTGAACTATCAGTTATTCTTTTATGAACTCTAAGTAAGCCATCCACAGCTGGAGAGAGAGGTGCCTCTGGTTCATCCTTTGCTGAAATCATTACCTTCAAAGGTGAAAGTGACAAATTCACCAAATGAATTAATAGTTAAAAGGAGCTGACAGCGCAAAACATTAGTATTGCTTAATGATTAGACCTAGATGAGCTCAATGAACGGCATAAGGTATGATGACACTAGCATTCACAAAAATATGTGCGTCTGGAACAAGTATAATGAATGGTCAGTGCCATAAGTGAGTTTGATTAGGTCAACTTCAAAATTTCTAATTGCCAAAACTTTCCTATTTGGGTTACTTGTAATCAAGAGATTCTATATACACCCTACTAGCAAAGTTAAATGATGCCTCTCTTCACAAAAGAAATAAACTATGGTTTTACAACAGTATGGTTTAATAACGACATATACATTTTCCACATGAACCGCATAAAATAGTAATTCTAAAATATAGTCATATGAACATTCTACTTAAGCTTAACTTTACTTTATTCATACTACAATAGTAATTGTTGCTCAAGCACACAACAACAAATGCATCCGATGCTGAAATGCCAGCACAAATGAGAACTTCCAAAGTTCAGTAGAGCATTTTTTTTTTTGAAACAAGTTCAGTAGAGCATTCCATCCTATGATCCTACACATTTAATCAATACTGGTGAAGCATTCAAGTATGACCGATCAGAAGAGTTGTTTTTCTTTTGTTATTCACTTAGTAACCTTATTTATCAAACGTGATATCCTTCACCAATAGTTATTGTTTCATATTTTATTAAATGCATCGACCTTTTTTTGTTTGGAATTCACTAATGTCCAATGATGAAAGAATAGGTACATTTTTCTCTTTTACTCACTTGCTGATCATGTAAATAGCATGATATTTATTTATTTTTTCTTAAGCAAACACTTGATCTTCCAAAGCACAATATAACAAAGAGTTATACTTCTCCGAATGTATGTATTTGTATACTTTGTGAGAAAAATTCAATACCTATGTCATCATGCAGATGAATTTTTAAATTACGTAGTGCATGTAATATATTCATTTGCATGTAGACAACTTGGTACATTTTTTATCCTTTTACCTCTTCCCTTTAGTTATTTCCTTTAGTAAAAAAAAATAAAAAAGGTCATGAAATTAACAGATAGTTTATGGAACAGCTTGAAAGAGATCTTCATCCAAAAATCAAATTCAATACCTATGTCATCATGCAGATGAATTTTAAAATATTCATTTGCATGAAGACAACTTGGTACATTTTTATCCTTTTACCTCTTCCCTTTAGTTAAAAATAAAAAAGGTAATGAAATTACCAGATAGTTTAAGGAGCATCTTGAAAGAGATCTTCATCCAATAATCAAATGACCTATTCATATTTGCAGCACAGGAGCACAAAACTGGACTTTCAGAACCATGTCCGATCAACCATTTTGGAAACATTGTTTGGTTTGGGGCCTTAGACTGCAGTCACAACCTGCAAACATTAATATGTGTTATATTATCAAAGCTTCCCAATTTTGGCCTTTGGTGGACGGTCACTTTTTTAAGTCAGTTTTAGAGCTACCCTTTAGTGTGCAGAACTTCACTGTTTAACTTTCTCAGTGTTGTCAGGATATTAACTATGCTTCTTAATTCTTACACTGAGTTGTGGCACATTTATTAAGTTGAAGTTGTGAAGAAAGGATGATCCCAACTAGGAGCCATAAAGAAAAATTGACATGTTCCTTACACAAAGATGTCGAGTTATTATATTATATAACTTATAATGTGCATTTGATACAAGATTCAAAACCCACACTAGCTAAGGAAAATATTACCAGTTTCAGGACCCAATGCAAACCCTCAACTAAAATAGAACAAAATATTCCTAGATTTTAGGAAAACCGAAACAAAGCTGCTTCAAGATTCAGTAACTAAAGTTCAGCTGTTGGACAAACAGTCCATCTTATCTGTTTCCCCTGATATAATGATGTTTTATGTTGAAACGAGCAGCAGCATAGACCAGCTCCAGTGCTCATATGTGGAGTGGACTGAGTAGGAGGTAGAGTATCTAGATCTACATAAGATGTTCCTAGCAGACCAGCTAGTACCAAACACGCGTCATGAAATAAAACAAAGTGAACTTCATGGGTGGACCTGCACACCGAGTGGCACATATGCTAGTTTGAACCAATGAGATTACTAACTTATATCAAATACAAATTTCATAAAGGCACTTACTGCTCTTTCTGGTACACCAGGCGGGCCATCAAGTATTTTGATGCGCGCTTTAGTCTCCTCGCACATCTTCTTGATAAACTCCCCTTTGCGGCCAATGATAGCTCCGACCTTCTGAGCTGGAACCAGTAAATGGAAAACACTCTCTCCTGGCCATCCAGGCCATTTGTTATCGTCAACATTGTTGACCTGCGAGTTGTCCTGTTGGGCCATGTCCGGGTCCCCACTGAATGCATTCTCCAGCTCTTCCTGGTAAGAATTTGCTGGGTCTTCATTGTACTGATTGCCAGTTTCCTCACTGTACAAGTCTGCTTGCTCTTCGTTATACGGATTCCCAGACCCTTCATCAAATCAGGCACCAGGTTGCTCGTTGTACTGGTCACCAAGCTCTTCACTGTACTGCTTCGCGACATCATCATACGGGTTTGGCTGCTCTCCGTCGTAAGGAACTTGAGGCAATCCACCTTCGTCATGCCCCACAAAGTTCTCTACCTGTCCATCCATAGGTTCTAGCCACAGACATGAAAAATCTGTTAGAAGGCACAAGTCACTTAAGTACGGATTGGTTTCCAGCAGATGCACACATAGAAAACAGCATAAATAGACCTTTTGCCCTCTGAACAGCACGTATCTATTAATCTATAAAAGGGTGCATATGGCACTCTTGGTATGTCAATTAGCTTATCCAATCGAGTTTATCTCTTCACTCAAACATAACTTCACTGGCACCGTTTTTCTAAGATTAAGCAAGCCTAAACTAAGGAATCTGCGCCGACTAGGGATGCATATACAACCATTAGACTCCACAAATATTAGGTGCGCCCCAAAAGGCCGAAATCAAGTCAGAGCGACCAATCACGTATCGTCGCGCGTCGAACCCTAAAATCGCAGCAAAACTGGATAACTGATCTCTTGCTAAAATCGCACCCGCGCCTCCCGAATCATGAGACCCGGCGCTCGGAATCCGCCTAATCGGCGCAAGGACACGGGACCCCAGACCACGAGAGAGTAAGTGAAGGGAAGAGACTAGGAGAGAGTGGTACCTGAGGAGGGGATGAAGGAAGGGGAGGGCACGACCCCGGCGAGGAATTGCCACCGAGGGAGAGGCGGGCTGGGGATCTGGGCGGCTGAGTCGGGTGCGAGGAGTGGAGCGCTCGTGGAGAACGGACTCGGCGGACAGAGATTCAGTAACTTATTACCCGATGGCCTCGCGCGTGGCCGCCGGCCTCCCACGCGCCCGTGACCCTGGACTGGCGCGTCGCCGGGGGCCTCCCGCGCCGCCGCCGGCCTCCTCGCGCGTCACCTCCAGCCTCCCACCGGCTAAGTATAGTATTTTGGACAGGCTAAGGGCCTGTTCCAAATAAGTCACCTACTTATAACTTAAAAAGTAAAAAAAATGACTTATTTTATCAAACGTCATCAACTTATAAGTCATCCCTGCGTATAAGTTTTAAGTTGGTTCACCCTTACTTAAAACTTATAAGTCACCCTTTTTCGCATGGAGCCCACATCTTTAATAAGCTTATAAGTCATTTACAACCAAACAGACATGACTTATAAGTCACTGATTTTCAGTCACCTAACTTATGGAAACCAAACTGGGCCTAACTATAGTATTTTGCGAGCTAAGGCCTTGTTTAGTTGGGGAATTTTGGGAATTTGGCTACTATAGAACTTTCGTTTTTATTTGGTAATTAGTGTTCGATTATGGATTAATTAGGCTCAAAATGTTCGTCTCGCAATTTCCAACAAAACTGTGTAATTAGTTTTTTTCTGTCTATATTTAATGCTCTATGCACGTATCGCAAGATTCGATGTGATGACTACTGTAGCATTTTTTGGGAATTTAGTTGAGAACTAAACAAGGTCTAAGTATAGTATTTCGTGGAGTAGTACATCACAGTAATCAAGTGGACTTCTCTCTAAGCCCTTGTATTTAGTTCGTGAAAAGTTTTTCTAAAAAATGCTATAGTACCCATCACATCGAATCTTGCGATATGTGTATGGAGCATTAAATGTAGACGAAAAAAACTAATTACACAGTTTTGTTGAAAATTGCGAGACGAACGTTTTGAGTCTAATTAGTACATGATTGAACACTAATTGCCAAATAAAAACGAAAGTGCTACCGTAGCCAAATTTCCAACTTTTCACCGACTAAACACGGGCTAAATGTCAGAACGTTGGAGCAGCAACTGTTGTAAGTAGTTGATGGAAGCTTTGTAAGCACTTGATTGAGTTATGTCACTTAATTGATAAGCGGATGCACTTGATTAGCCGATGGATTAGCTAATTTGTAAGCACTGGATTAGCTTTAAAAATGCAATGAGCTGCTATGTATCTGTTTGACTGAACTGCTTTGCTCCTGTTTACGTTTACCTATGTCTGAATGATTGCTGAAAGGCTGGATCTGGTTTGAACCATTGGATCTGATTTCAATGGCTGGATGCTGAAGGTAAGTTACGTTGTGACTTGCCTCAGGTACGTTCGGACTCAGCTTAGAGAGACAGGTGGACTGGACTACGGGAAGAAAATCGAGAAAATCCTTTCGTTTCGGAAGCGGTCGCCCGTCCGCCCTGTTGCTGGGCCACGCGACGCCAGCCCAAGACTATCGGTCTGTGCTGGCCCGGGCAAGTCCTGCTTTTGCTTTGGCTGGGCCAAAAATCTGGGCTTGGTGCAGGGCCACTGGACCGCGGGCTTGCTGTACATCTTGAGACGCGCGTCGAAGAGCTGCGACCCGATCGAGCAAAACGATGTACACGTCCGGGCCGGGCCAGGCCGACCCGAGCCATCGAGCAAAACGAGCTGATCCGCTGAGGAGCTTCAAGCTGTCGTTGCGTCTCCACGTTGGATTCTGGCCGTGTTTAGTTACAGGAACTTGGAATTTGGGGTACTGTAGCACGTTTGTTTTTATTTGTTAATTAGTGTTCAAACATGGACTAATTAGGTTTAAAACGTTCGTCTCGTAATTTTTCACCAAACTGTGCAATTAGTTTTTTTTCGTCTACATTTAATGCTCCATACACAGGCCGTAAACATTCGATGTGACAGGTACTGTAGCATTTTTTGAGATTTTGGGGTGGAAGTGAACACGCGCTCTGTTTGGCAGCATGGACACGTGGCAGTGACGGACGTCATGTATGGCGTACGTACGGGCGTAGGCATGGATTGATGGACACCAGTTCCATAGAATCGAGAAAATTCCTTTAGTATCACTAAAGTTTATAACAATCTCCTCATTGCTATTGAAAATTATGTGTTTTCTTCGTTGCCATTAGTTTTAAATTTGTTGTTCCTTCATTGTCACTACCATTAGAGAGTAGTCACGGCGTGACTTCTATGCCCACATCTGACGTATAGACACCATCCGACGGTTCAAAAAAGTTATTCTCGATTCTCAGGATCAAGCTTCGCGTTCACTAGTCAAAGCCGAGCCACCGTAACCCTTCCACTTACCACACGCCGCCGCCCTCCCGCGCAATGCGCCATGCATCGCACTCGCACACCATCACCGCCCTCCCGCTCCGCCGTACACTGCATGCCGCATCGTTGTAGCCCTCGATAGCAGGCCGGGGTAGTAATCCTCAACGATAATCCAGTAGCGCTCCAAGACAGTGTCTGCACGAAGCTTCTCGATAGCGCCACTCCTCGATAGCATCCCACATTGATGCTCCTCGACAGGCGACAGCGTCCATGAGACAACATGCGGACCAACACCTCTCTTTCGCCCGGCGGGCGACTTTCTGACGCAGGGCGACGCGAGAGCACGAGGTGGTGCGCCGCGTGCGCAAATGAGCAGCCCCACCCTTTGTGGTCGATGTAGGCGACGAGGGCGGCGTGAGAAATAGATGTGGGCGACTCATGCATCCCTCCGAAATGTGATTGAGTGGTCATTTGGAGTTCTCAGGATGAAGTGATGCATTCTCTTGCAGTTACCTGGCTATCCAATTGAGAAGCAATCAATGATTATCTTTGCTTGCATGGCTCTCCATAATTTCATTAGAGACAATGATATAAATGATGAACATTTCAAAACCTATGTGGAAGATGGTAGTGGTGTTGGGTCCCAAGTTCCTACAGCTGATGGTACTGTTTTGGCGGATGATATGGATATGGGCGCATTCCATAATGCTATTGCTTCTACTTTGGTTGGGTGATATATCGTTAGGAACTTGAGTATTTTGTAGCAATTACATTAATCAAATGGGTATTATTTTGGACTATTATTGTACAATGGATCTTAATGAACCATATTTCTCTCTTAAACTTTACAAATATTGTCATCATTGCCTTCAGATCATCGACCACAAGGGTACATAGGTCATTTTGTATCCAGGACAGTCAATCTACCAGAAATAATCAGAACAGCCAAACGCCCAGCTTATTCAAACAGCAGATTCTCCAGATCGTGACTTATCAGATAAGCCTGCTCAGCTTATAAGCAAGACTCAGAGAAGCTCTCATAAACATGGCCTTAGCATATGTCGGGGATCAGTACTAGGGTACCCGAAGAGGAGGAGCTAATGATCGTTATACGTTAGTCCATCCAGGCAGTCAAAGGTGCGACTACAGCTCCAACCGACACCGAGGCTGTGGGCTCTGCCTTGCCCGACCTCTGGCCGTGGGCTCCGCCTTGTCCAACCCCAAGGTCATGCGATCCGCCTCACCCTACCTCTAGGGGCGGGCTCCGCCTCGCCCGACCTCTAGGACAGGCTCCGCCTCGCCCGACACCGAGGCCACGGGCTCCTCCTCGCCCGACCTCTAAGGTCGGGCTCTGCCTCGCCCGACACCGAGGCCACGGGCTCCGCCTCGCCCAACCTCTAAGGGTGAGCTCCGTCTCGCCACCCTCAAGGTTGTGGGCTCCGCCTCGCCTAACCTCTAAGGGCGGGCTCCGCCTCGCTCGACACCGAGGCCGCGGGCTCCGTCTCGCCCGACCTCTAAGGGCGGGCTCCGCTTTGCTCGACCCCCGAGGGCAGGCTCCGCCTCACCTGATGTCTAAGGATGGGCTCCGCCACGCCCGATCCCTCGGGCACGGCTCCTAACGGAAGCTCACGCCGCCGCCAACCACTACGGGCCAGAAAGTACAACCCAAGGTCAAACTTCTGGCATCGTGTGGGGAGCGGTCATGTCTCAACACGACCCATCCCCACGACATGTCATTCCAGGGAACTCACATCGCCCATAGTGATGAACGTGTTGTCACTATGCTGCCTACTCCCTGTATGGCCGCTGATCAGCACGCTGGTTCGCCGCGCCGCTCACCGGGGTAGAGTGGGACGTCACGACCCACTGACAACGCTAGGGCATGGCATCATCGGTGGATAGGCGCCCGGCGTGGAGCTATCCCTGTCACCACATGTCGTGTTAGTAGGACCCACACAAAGGAAAAGAAAGGCCTGGTGACCCTGAAGGACTTTCTCTCCCTCTCGTTCTCCTCTTTTCTCCCACTGTAACCCGTGCTTTCTCTTGGCCTATAAAAGGGAAAGCAGGGCACCCCACTAAAG